TTATCTAAATCAGTTTCTTTAAGAAGCTTCAATATAACAATACATCTTGCCTGCGTTTCTCCCCAATAGACCTGACAATGAGACATCATGATGTTTTGCCTTCTGTAATGACTGAAAGAGGCGATCCCTCTTGATTGTGTATCTCCTACTCTGAAGGAGAACATGTTCAGCTGTTTCTGGTTGGTTGCAATATATTTCCCAGTTGGGTGCTTGCCTATTTTATATAACGAAAGGTTGAGACCTGCATGTCCTATTCTCAGACGAGTGATTCAATTTTATTCCCTACGTTTCCAGCCCACCGTCCTCCCAGCACCAACATGTCCCTATACCTTATATAGATGCCTTCCAGATACAATGTTGTCCCAATGCTCCTGCCATACTGACAGTGCATACGTCCTGATTAATGTCTTGGCTTCATCTTTAGTTAATGGGGCCTTTAGGTTGGTTATCTTTGATTTTGAGTGTTCTTTTGGCCAGAATATCCAAACATTCATTTCCCTCAACAACGGCATGAGCAGGAACCCAAAGAAAGCTTGTAGATAAACCCTTTAGCTTCATCCTGTCAATAAAATGAATAAGTCATCGATGAGATTGGATTTAATGATGATTTGCCAGATTTAATGCTCATAAGTGCAGACAAGCTATCAGATGCAACAACAGTATTATTTGTTTCCCTCTCCTCTATCCACTGCAGAGCCAGTAATATTGCCGTCAATTGTGTGGTATACACTGACACATGTTCCAATGTTCTTTTCTTAATACATGACTCACTTGCTGGAATATAAACTGCTGCACCTGCACGCCCTGTATCAGGATCTTTGGAGCCATCTGTGAATAGTAATGTAATTGTCGTAATCCTATGATTTCTGCCTTTGTATCGCCAATCCACCCAAAACTTGTGAAATTTGTCTCATTGTGTTCCCAGCAGTCTGTTAAAAAGTCTCTTGGCAGGATGAGAATCACATTGCCACTGGGGAAAAATCACAAAAACATAGTAGGCCTAAATCAACAAATATAGACTACTGAAATGAGCAATCAGAGCATAAACAGCCACCACATACAGACGTGTCCAGGAAATGAGCTACAAGTGTCGCATTCCTATGCTGAAGCCACTCCTGAACCAGACAGTGTCAGATGTGTCTTACCTAAGGAGAAACAGAACTGGACCGTTGCTCAGTGGCACAGAATCCAAGTTGCTCGAAGTCCAGTGTGAAGTTTCCACAGTCAGTGATGCTTTGGTTTGTTGACCATGGCAATACTGTGCTTGACTGGCCAGCCAACTGGCCTCACCTGAATCCCATGCCGCGCCGCATCTATGCAGTAATTCATGCAAAAGGAGACCTGACCAAGTACTGAGTGTCTAAATTAACATTTTTCAGAACTTTTCTACATTTCAGCAGGTCGATATTTGTGTATTACTACTAAAATTTGAATACATTTTGAGATATGGATTTTTGATTTCCATGAGCTGTAAGCCGTAATCATCAAGATTAAAATAATAAATAGCCTGAAATGTTTCACTTTATGTGTAATGAGAGAAGAATAGAATATTCTAATTTTATTAGATGCACCTTTTAAAAGTAAACTTTACTCTTAATGTCAAGACTGGCCACTGAAATTTCTACCACATGTTCTCCAATGTCATTTTTTTTTGGCCTATTGTTGTGCTTTTTCAGCCTTTTGTCTCTCTCCAATTTAACACATCTGGCAGAGCATCACCTGTAGTTGCCAACAACTAAACCTAGTCCCCCTTCAAACTGATCTGTAAATGCATGTATCACCTGGTGGTGGCAGTGACGGCTTTCTGACATGGAGGGGCCACTGAGTATTTATCAGAAATAGAGGAACCACGTGAAAAGTAATTAGTTCAGACCTCATCAGGCCATCTGGTCAGTGTTAGTCACCATGACACCAAGTAAATCCCTGCAGTGCACGGTGACTGCCAGAAGCACCTTCTTGTACCTAAAAAGACCAGTTTCTCCACTCTTGGACGTTTTGATTCTCATCTCTTTTAGTCATGCCAAACTTGATTTTTACTTTGTCACAACCAACAGTGACACAGGGGTAATAACTCGCAGCCACAGCTAATATAAAGGATAAGTGTAGCTTTAAATTAGAATTTTAGTAAAAGTTGTAACTTTATATCTAGTGTACTAATCACAAGATTGTGATTTTGAAATTATCACACTTATGAATTATGAATGACATAATAAGTAAATGTCCCCCATGAAATTTCAGCCTAGTGAAGGGGAAAGTGGTGAGCAGGGCTGTATCTGCCACGGGAGGATAACAAAGTTATGTCCTCTGAAGTGCTGTTTACATTCTTTACACATCATGAGTTTTTCTTAAGGCCCTAAAAGTTCTTAAGACAAGTTATTTTTGGCCAAGAAAATATGCATTACATTAAAAATATAGGCTATATTAATAAAAAATGACTGTTGGTATAATGCCATTTGTTTTAGCACTTACCATGACCTCAGTATTTCTGAAATCCTGGCTACAGTTTAATGGGTGAGTAAAAGGAAATGTAACAAAAAGCAGTAGTTTACAGTCTATTACCATTGCAGCAAATTCTAAAGAAACCCCTTTTCAAAAGGAAAAAAAAGAAAATACAAGTAGTAGTAAAAGCAGTTACGCATGATAAAGTAAAAATATAAAATTTTGAGTTATTGTGTCAGCAAAAATGTGGACTAAAAATAATATTTTATAACAACTAATGAAATGACAGATAATTTTTATCTTACTCTGCAGTTCCCATTAGCTCTATGGAGCTATAAAGCCTCTTTCAGCTCATTATGTTATTATTTTCGTTTTACAGCCACAACTTCGTTGTTTTGGCTCCCTCTAACCAGTCTTAAAAATCAGTTTCTTTTCCAGCAGCAGCAGGCAGCTGATTTCAAAAACCCACTGCACCTGCTCAGTCAGCACCAAACTGCAGACAGAGAAAGTCAACAACTAGCAAGTAAATAGACTGGACAGTTAGCAGCTAATAGCAGCAGATATTTATCTCAGGGGTTAGTAGAAACCAAAAACAGAGCTAAAAGAAATGTGAAAATTGGACTTAAATTGCCAGGTGACTCCAAATGAACACTAATGTGGCTCTGTATCTACAGGATGTTTCTGGGCAATGGTTTGCCAACAAGTTTACCATGTCAAAATTACTTGATAATAAGACTAAATCAATTTGACAATTTATTTTTATTTTATTTTATCACACCTCATTTTTGGTATATTTTAGTTGTTTTCTTGGCTGAAACTGGCTTCCATAAAAACCACCACCAAGAGTTAGAGATCCATAAATGAACACAACGAGTCCTGATTCCCCTTGAAACACTACAAAGTGGTTTTGTACTGGTCATTTTCTTACTAATCAAGCCTTCAAGTAACAATAATAATAACCCAAAATACCAGGACTGAGTTTGAGTAGTTTACACATATTTCACATGTTTAAGTTCACACTAGCTATGGACAGCTTTAAAGACAGGTACACTATGTTGGTACCACTGATCTCTTTGACTCATGATGAGAAGACTCAATGTGACTTATGAACTTGCTTTACTGTAACTTTATATAAATAATAGCACACAAAGAACATGCAATTTGTCAAAAATTTAGCATGTCAACATTATATGTAGACGGTTTGTAATGTGTTACGTTGACATTGCTGTGTTTTACTGTGTGCGGGTGCATTTTGTAATTAGACATAGTGCCTTTTTAATCTTTTTAAAAATGTTTGCTCTCTCTGATGAAGCTTTAATCTCCGCCACATGGCCAAACGCTTAAAAATCAGATCAATTACCAAGTCACATTCAGTCAAGTCACATTTTTCTGGCACTTAATGCACAAACCTAAATTAAATTCAAAGTAAGCATCTGTCTATTATGAGGATGGATGGCAAAAGTATTGTGGGTGTGTGTGTGTGTGGTGTGTGGTAGTAGTGTTATTGCATGTATGTCCGCTGGTGTACTGTATGTCTGTGTGTGTGAATGAGAGAGAGTGCGTGCATTTGTGTGTCTGTGAGTGTGTAATTAAAACAAGTGATTTTTTTTTTACACACAGATTATCCTTCTATCCCAGCTGGTCAGAGTTGGATTTGACCACCCTGACAACCAGAGAGAGGAAATCTCTTTGGGGCTAAATCCAAATTGGCACCCTTGATGATTTTTTTTTCAAATTGCAAATGTGGCAGTGCTCGACTATTAACTTGAATTTGGCACTGAAATCTAAACATAACAAAACATTTTCGCAATACAAACTTTCTGATGACTTGAAGAAGGAAACACAAATGTCCAAAAAATAAATATATATATATTTTTTTGGATGGCTGTGCATTATTTAACATTTAATTTTTCCGCAACTACAGTTGATTTCTTGGTGGTACACCATGCAACAGCATTACTGTGTCGTATTTCTTTGTGTGTAAGTCTCTACGCTCTAACATACTTCAATTATTCAATTATTCAAAATATATTAAATCATTAATTGGCACAGATAATTTCAGTTACATTGTTGAGGGGGTTTATGTGATTGTGCTGCATTTGTGGAAGCATTATAAACAATTTCAAGCTCTAAAGGGCAATACACTCAAAGGGACAGACATAGAGATCCAGAGGTTTGTGCACATCTGTCCTGTTTTTTATACTCATGGACTCAGAGAGAGAGATTTAACAGCGCCCTGCTTTGTAATGAGGTCAAATCAGCTGGTTCCTCATGTGAAAATGAAGAGGCATTGCATAGTTTGGAATTTTGCTTTTGTTTTTCAGGACATCAAGTTATTTTCAAAAACTTATCTTTAAAAGTTAAATGTTAAAATATGTGGAAATGTGTTAACGATGATAAAGCCTTGCTAAAGTTTACAGAGTAATCCAAAACATGTGTCATCCAACTATTTGAACCGTATGGAGAGTTGGAAAACCCAAAAATATGGAAAAGAGTTTTATTACCATTTAATAAAACAATCCATGAAATGATCAACCTAAATGCAATACAATCAGGTTTTCAAGGAAAGTCTTTTATATAAAAATGAACACAGTATATTTATGTAATTTGATCATATCTTGTTATGGCCGTCATGAGAGTCACTGAAATGGTCTTTCAATATAAATACATTACAAAAAAATAGGTACAAATTAGCTTTACATACATTACACAGCCTCAAAGTTGCTTATACAGTTAACTACAAAATGAGCTTCCAGTGCATTCATGCCCTTCCAATCCACATCCATCAAATCAAATTAAATGGTCTAAAGAGATTCAGAGAATTGTGCGGACAACAATCAAAATCAGGCACATAATTCAGGGATTATTAGTACACACAGGCCTTATGTAATCAATACGTGTTATACTTGTAATGTGCTATATTTGACAAAATAATTAGAAATTGTTTCCACAAGTTTTTCACATAAGAAACATAACAGCGTATTTATCTATATTAGCAGTAGTATATACTAAATAACATGAAATTGTGCTTTTCTTCATGTGTTTATGTCTGAATGCACTTGATGCCATTCTAACCAGGGGCCATATCTCTATCACCTCTTACAGTATAAAGCAACTCAAATCAAAGTGCACATCAAGTAATAATTTCATTGATCACACAACTAAACATTAGAAATGAATATTAATTCAAATACATGTGGCTTACAATGGTTGGTTAAAATCTTAATATGCCTAATTTCCAATGCATGGTACGGCACGGCTCGACTCGGCTCACCTAGAACTGTTTTTTTGGTTTTCCGTACGCAAAAGTTGTGGATTGTACCTGGAACTTTTTTTTGGGGTATTTGTAAATGTTCCAAGCGAGCTAAGTTAATACTAAATGGTGGAGTTAAAACACTGAAGACCACTGATTGGTCAGAGAGAATAGTCACTTGAAAAACACAGGACACCCTGCACAGCTATTTAGCCAAGCTACCATCAATAGCGAGCACAGTTTTTTTATTGACTCGACCTAGATTGTAAAAAACTAAACTGAGTAAAGTACCTGGTACAAAAAGCGAGCTGAGTCGAATCAAGCCGAGCTGTACTGTGCAGTGGAAATTAGGCTTTAGTAACACCTGAATAAGACCTTCATAGCAGCTACAGTCGTGAAAGCAAATTCATTCCTCATCGTTAAATGTCTGCTAGCGGTATAGCAGCTGACTGGAAAATGTTTGGTCAGAAGTGTGCGCTGCTCAATATTCTCAATCTGTGTTTAGCTTGCCATCGTGTTGGTTTATGGGCTGCATAGCGATGGTAGATGCAGGGCTGTCAGGTTTTTCAAAACCTCTTAGCACTTGTAGAGTGGAATTTGTGTCAAAATACAAACATAGGTTAGAAATTTCTTTCTTTTTTTTGTTTGCAGGTGATTGTTTATGTCTATGCCCCCTTCTATTGTCTTGGTCAATTAGGTGAACCAGATTTTTAATGTCCCTATAGTGTTTCTCCCGTCCTGGGTCTATTTCGCTCCCGATACAAATTTCACTGTACAAATGCTGAGGAGTTTTTGCCACGAAAACAGTATTAACTAATGTCAACTGCTGTAACATCATTTTGGTAGTCTGTTAGCTAGCTATTGACCTAACAACAATCAGCATTTCTAGGAGTGGCGAAATGACCAAATACCACAGGTCCAAGAAGACTTCTTTGGCCATTTTGCCTATGAAATACTTTGCAAATGTTTGTTGTACAATTGTATAACTGAAAAAACATTCCATGTTTTACTTATTATAAAATTATAAATAAGAATTTAATATTCATAAAAATGTGGATATGAAAATATAAAAAAAACAAAACTGTAGATAATGTTTCATTTTAAATAAATGTAGTACTAATTCATGTGTTATTTATGTTTAATATAGTATACAATCAAAACAGCTCTTTTTGAAAATCTTACCTGCCAAATGTTAAATTACAAGACAGAGTAAGGTCAAGTTTAGACAGAGTTAGACCTCTTCCTCTCATGGAGGTTGTGACTATGTAACAAAATTTACTTTGGGGGTTTTCAATTTACTGTGATGGACTGGCGACCTGTCCAGGGTGTACCCCGACTTTCGCCCAATGTAAGCTGGGATTGGTTGTAGCCCCCCGCGACCCTGTACGCAGGATAAGCGGTTGACGATGGATGGATGGATGGATGGATGGTTTTCAATTTAAACAGAGGCTGTGAGTTACTTGAAAATATTGCATATTTCCTCGGTATCTGCTAATACATAAAAAAGTTAATCTCTTTGACCATGAGTTATTTTGAGCTATATTTTCTGCTGTAAACAAAACAGACAAAAAACACACAAACACTCTCCACACAATCGAGTCTCAAAGAAACGTTTCCTCATAGTTTTCACCAGGCTCCCCGAGTTTAGAGTCTCTGGATATCGGTCTGACGACCTCAGAGAGGTCACTGGCTGCCCTGGTTACACTTTCATAAGATGGTGGTGAGGACATTAGAGTTTCCTCTGTTTCCTCTGTCTGTACAACCTCCACCCCCACAGGTCCATAGTGCTCTATCATGGAGGCTATCAGCCCCTCCCTCTCTGGAGCATTCTCCACATCCACTACAGTCTCGTAGTTTATTTGTCTGTAGAGGTAAGATGCCTGCTTCATCTGGCGGCGTACCAGATGCCTCCTGTAACACCTCTGGATGATGATCGCGGACACCTCCTCCAGTTTGCGGCGCAGTGTGGAAGTGATGGGCTCGTGGGAGATCTTGGAGGGATTTGTCATCATGAACTTCTCCTCCATTTGCTGCTTGAGAGCGTCCATCTCACCCGACTCTCCCAGGACACGCTTTGTGAAGGCAAACAGGATGTCCAGGCAGTGGATCCTATCCCCACTGACCATGGGAAGGTCCATGGCGATCAGCTTTATCCTGTTGGGCTTGGCTATGCGCAGCGGCTCCGACAAAGTGTCAGCAAAGATCGACAGCATGGAAAACTCAATGAACTGTGTGGCTTCAGAGTCAAACTTCTCCCAAACCTCATAAAACATTTCAAAGTCGTCCTCGCTCAGTGGCTCTGTACTCTCCTCTGTGGCAACACTGAAGTTCTCCAGAATGATAGCTATATACATATTTACCACAATGAGGAAAGAAATGATTATGTAACTAACAAAGAAAGCTATGCCCATTGACGGGCTGCCACAGTTTCCCCGGGTGTTAGTGCCAGTGTTAACAAAATTAACGTCGCACTCTTCTGGGGAGCTGGCCATTATAGGGCTCAGGAGGTTGTCCCAACCTGCCGAGGTACTGATCTGAAAAAGGCAGATCATACTATTCCCAAAGGTCTCAAAGTTAAACATGTCGTCAATCCCATCTTGTTTTTTCACGTAGGCAAAGTTTGCCATACCGAAGATAGCATAGATGAACATGACGAGGAAAAGCAGGAGGCCAATGTTGAACAGTGCTGGCATGGACATCATTAAGGCAAACAGTAAAGTCCGTATTCCTTTGGCTGCACGTATAAGTCGAAGTACACGTCCTATCCTTGCCAGTCTGATGACTCGAAACAGGGTCGGAGATACAAAGTACTTCTCAATGATGTCTGCAAGAACAATCCCTGGAAAGACAGAGAAAAACAAGGCAGGAGTAGGTTTGTGTCACAATTATGCACTTAAATATACTTAAAGTTGCACTAATCAAAATGCTTAATGATCAAATCATGATGTCAAGGGGTCGCTCGCAATGACAAATCCACAAAACACTTTCGCCGGACGAATGGCAGACAAAGCTTCTACCTGATGAACACAGTGAGCACTGAAAAGCAAGATATTTCCATCTGGAGTCGGTGGAGACCAAAACAGAGCTAAATGGAGAGTGAATATTGGACGTACATTCATCATGTGGACACAAACACAACAACCAATAAATGCTAATGTTGCTCCACGTCTACTGGGTGTGTAAGAAAACTGTTTGCTACCATGTTCAGCTCTTTTTTTGAGGTGTGTCTCTACTTACCCACAATAGAGAGAATTATCACCACAAAATCAAAGATGTTCCACGCAACTGTAAAAAAATAGCAACGGAGGGCAAAGATCTTGATCAGGCATTCAGTGGTGAAGATCACGATGAAGACCAGGTTGATCTTGTTGAGGATGGACTCCATGCGCTCTGACTGCTCATCGGTTTCCACCATCATGGTCACCATGTTGACGATGATGAGCATCATGATCATGATGTCAAAGGCTTGCTTGGACACGAGATCGAAGAAAAAGGCTTGGATAATGTTCTGCGATTGAGAAATACAAATGGTAAATCAGCCAATGAATATAACATTATTAGTCCAATATTATCAAGAATGTTAGCAGACAGGACGATATGCAGGATTAGGGATTATTAAGATGACATGAAATATGTAAGAAAAAGTACATATACAAATAAAATGATGAATTTACAAAAACTCAACGTCTGAAAAATGTTTTACATCGAGAATTATATTATTTTACCCCAGGCCTTGGTATTGGCTTTTGAGGCTTTTTAGATCCTAACTTCTTCATAGCGTTATAATACTTCTTCTGTTCTTCAGTCATGAAGATATCCTGTCCACCTAAGTACAGGCAAAAACACCTAACATTATCTTTTACAGAAAAAAATGTTAAAAGTACAGTGACCAACAGAAGGTGGCAAAATCAAGCTGTTTGTTTCCTTGTTTCCTTCACGAGTCAGTTAGTATTTGCACACAATTCTTCATATTTGGTTTTCCCTGGAGAAAGAAATTTGCATATTTGAAATTCATGACTTTGTAATTGAGTCAGAGTGGCCGATTACTTGCAAATACCACATGATCCAGACCTGACATCAGTGTTATCAATACTCATCTTTCTTTTCTGCTGATTGAAATTGTCAATAATGACACCGATGAAGAGATTGAGGGTGAAGAAGGAGCCGAATATGATGAAGACGACGAAGTATAGGTACATGTAGAGGTTGATTTCTCTGATGGGTTGTTCCTCCACCTGAAATCAAACAGTTTTATAAGTCAGATAGTTACTGTAATATGTTTATGATATAGGTCCTGGAAGTAGACAGAGATACTTACTCCTCTTGAATCAATAGCTGCATGCATTATTTCCATCCATCCTTTGAATGTAGCCTATAATACAATATTACACAACATTACTGTATTGTGAATAATGTATATCTATTAGAAAACTAATATTATGATCACATATATATTATTCATGACACAAGTACAAACGTTATTCCTAAAATGAAAGTGTGTCTGAGAGATTTGACAAACTCCAAACAGTGCAGCATAAAAAAACTCACCACTTGCAGAAGGGAAAGGTAGCCGAGTCCCACGTTGTCAAAGTTGACCTTCACTTTTGTCCAGTAGAACTGGGTGTCGTTCATAGCGAGGCACTCTGACTTGTTGTTGACTACAGAGACACTGTGGATGAAACCCGTTCTGTTCACACACTTCCCGAACTTGCCAGCGAACAGGTTCACCCCCATGATGCTAAAGATGAGCCAGAAGATAAGACACACGAGCAGCACGTTCATAATGGAGGGGATGGCTCCTATAAGAGCGTTCACGACCACCTGAAGAGCAACAGGTAAGATACAGGTTAGTCTCACAGCACTGAGGTTCTCTGTTAGCCTGGTCTCAGATCACTGAATCACTGCCCGCATCTTTGATCTTTTAAGCCACGGTTTTTATGTCTGATTATGAAGCTATTTCATATTCAGCTCATGATCTGATAGTTGATTAACTAATAATTTAGTTATATAAATGTTAACTTAAAGCCAAACAAGCACCAGATTTAAACATCAGTGTATGTTTGTGTTGACTGAGTGCCTTCATGTTGAAAACGTAACTCATCTTTTCTCAAACTTCCTAAAGAAGTCACTAATATAAGGGTAAATCTAATTATGGGGACATGTGCCTGTATGTTTTGCTACTGAGCTATATCTGTACTGTAAGTTTCATAGTTACTGAACCAGACAACCTACAGCCATGCAAGCAGCTCCATGACACTATACAACGGTGCTATAAGCTAAATGCTAACATTAGCATGTTCACAATGACAACAAAGTTGTAATGTTAACATATTCACCATCTTAGTTCAGAGTGTTAGCACACTGTCTAGCACTTAACACAACTGAGGCTGATGGAAATGTTAATAGTTTTTAAGGAATTTGGTCATAAACCAAAGTATTAGACAAATAAACTAGATGAAAAGATCACCAAGGTCATTACAAGTCATCCTGAGAGGGATCTGAACCAAATTTCATGGCAATACATCCAACAATTGTGGAGACATTTCAGTCAAAATCACAAATGTGACTCTCATGGAGGTGCTAAAAGAAAGGTAAATAGATCACCAAAGTCATTAGGAGTTATCCTCCAAAACACCATGAATGTTAGCACAAAAGTTTACAGCAATCCATAAAACAGTTGTGGGGTAATTTCATCCTTAACCAAAGTGGTCCTTTAGACCGACTGACTTAATTGTACAGCCTCGCCATCCCTAAAACTACCATTGTCAAATAGTCCCATATCCTTGGTCTGAACATTGTGTCAAGTATGATGGGAATTTTTGCATGACTAGGAATTGATCTAGCTGTCAGACAGATTAATGATCCAATTAGTCTGAAAACAAACCCTCTTTGGTAGATGTAATAATCCTGAGATTAATCAGCGTGGGACTACTCAACAGAAACTCTGTCACAAGCGACATGTGACATCAGTGTCATTCAGAAAACTTTTTTTCTCACCCGCATGCCCTCAAATCTGGACAGAGCTCTGAGAGGTCTTAAAGCCCGCAGGGTCCTCAGGGACTTGATCGCAGCAAAGTCGGAATATCCCAGTGAATTTGCTACTAGACTTATCAAAGACACCTATATGGGGTACAGAAAGACATGTATACAGTGAGAATCATAAAATGAATTCAAATTCTTAAGTCAGTTCTTGTTAATGTTAAAACATTTGGGGGAAAAGTAGCATTTATTTTAAAATACAAGAGAGAGTACAAAAACATTGTGAAAAACATCACACCAACACAGTCAAGGAACTGCAATTCTATATTATAAATTATAAAATATCATAAAAGACAGGTAAATAACATTTGAAGAGCCATATTTTAGAGTTTTTGTGTATTTTGGGACATTCCACAGTTTGGAACACAATTACTTAATTTTTGAGGTTTAGATTTGATTTGGTTGTTATATCCTCTTTTAGCAAATTTAGACTTCCACTCTATTCTACATCCAAAACAGACAAAACGAAATGGTATTCCGCTGTTGAATGACCCTTGGATGACAGCTATGAATGAAAATGGCATGATATAAATGAAACGAACAAGAAAATTTATGTCATGATTGATGATGACAAAACACAGACAAGTATGCACACATGGACAAATAGCCTCCATGCATGCATACTCAGCTATATATGCATATAAAATATGTATATATATCAAATAGAGTGAGTTTTATAAAGAATTGATATCTGTCTTTGCCAAATTTGTTTCCCAATTTGCATCAAATTGATCCAATAAGTTCATTAAAACATTTTGGGACTAATAAGGTCCCAATGGTCTGTATTTCTTTATAAAAGTCTATTTACACATGTGTTCATCCAATATATCTAAAGAAGATACTCAAAAATAATTCTCGGGACAAGAGAAGTCTTTGGCTCCAAGAAAGTGCGGATGGAAAAATACTTAAACACAGTCAAATAAAGTAAAGTGGTACTTTTCATAGAGAGAAACCAAAGGTAGGTAGTTACATTGATCAACAGGACTTGTCTTTTATTCTGAACAAACAAAACAAGTAACACTCAGTACATGAATTAGACACAACAGTTTAGACATGAACTCAACCGGTGCATTAATAAATTAACAATAAGACTAAAAATGTCTGTTAAGCAACATTTTCATAGGTTTAATATGCTGTAAGAACACCAGATCTTCTGTAGATAAACCTTAGAGCATATGGCACTGCATTTATTTTTGATATAAAAGCCAAGGTCCTGAGGTAACTGATTCCAAGGATGACTGTTGAGTAGTTTTATAGCACAACAAAAGTTTTGCACATTTTATAAGAAGTGCATTCATTTAGAAACAAGACGGTGGCTTTTGATATCACAACAGAAAGCACTTACGAGTGAAGAAACACAGAAGCATTTGTGATGCAGATGCAAGTTTCCAATTCCAGAGCTCATACTCACCGGGAACTTGCTAACTACAACTTACCCTAACAATAGAGCGGTCTGTGGAAATCTGTGTAACAGCAGGTGAAATCAGAGGAGGTCAAGTCAGGCCTCGGGCTGCACGCCTCGGGCACTTAGAATGACTATAAACTACAGAGCCACATCCATTTGAACAGTTTACATGAAGACGCTCACGAAGTGAAACATGACTCAGATCACTGGAGCACTTCTTTTAATTTGTCTTGCAAAATCCTAGCATAAAGCAAATGTAAAACTGTACACTGTAAAAACTGTTTAGTGTGTGATTTAGCATCCGGGTCCAGAAACAGTTCATGTATGGTGCACACTAGAGGATTTTCTAATCTTATCGATTTAAACAATGTGGGATACTACATACGTAATGACAGAATGAACCAATTTTCTATATTTTTATCATAGGAACGCACAAAACAGTCAAATCAGTCAAGACGCAAGACTAGGCTACACACTTGGCATTTATACTAAACGATTTCCGAGTGGTGATTCAGGCGACTTGGGGTCTCACAGAAACTTGAATGATCAATGTTTGATATTTACGATTGCAATCGAGTTTACAATTCCTCCAATCCAGTTGGTGACCTTAAGATTATGTCTGTAAACCCCTCACACTACAGGTTAATTTCGGCCTATCAGCCTTGAATTGGGTATACTGTACCCCTGTGATTGTTGAGAGGGCGAATCGGACCCAAAACTGGCTCAATTATCCTCTGGTGTGCGGCCAAGTAGAGTTTGTTTGAAATAGGAGTAAATGATGGTGAGGTAAGCACAATTTCAGGCAGGAAAGTGTTTATTGCAAAGCATAAATGAATTGTCAAGTGCTTTCCTGTAAATAATGTGACACTCACCAAGCTGTAAATCCCACAAACAAGTGCTACATTCAGCTACAATGAGGGGGATTACTGTTCAACGTGAACAGGTGATTTTTAACTACAGGCATACTTTCATGTGGCGCAACAAAGAAAAATGTTCACTCACATCCACAATAAGAAAGTCGAGCCAGCACCAGTAATTGGTGAAATATTTCTTGAAGCCGTATGCAATCCACTTGAGGAACATCTCCAGCACAAAGATGTAGGAGAAAACCTTGTCGGCAGACTCCAACACCACCTTTACGACTTTTCTCTTCTCAATGTAGATGTCTTCGAATGCCTGCAGCAGAAGAGGGACAGCAATACGTACAAAACAGTCTTGAAAGTTCTGTGTTTTGCTTTTTAATTCCAACTGAATTGAAATCCCTTTGTATAGGGTTAACATGTCTTTTTAAAACATTGATTGTTTATTATTATTAAAAGTAAACAAAAAGGTCTTTGAGGAAATATTAGAAATGCTCCTTTTCGTCTCAGCCGGCTGGAGGGGCGTGTCTGTGATTGACAGCAGCTGGCAGGCTGAGCACCTCCAGGAGAAAGAGAGAAAAAGTAAACAAACTTGCGCTGTAGCTTACAAACCAAGAGCAGATGTGTTGTTAGCAGTGGTATTGAAGAGTAATGACTACTCCCGCATCTGACTGGACCCAAGTGACATTTTATCTCATTAGATGTTAGTCTCACTGTTTACTGTTTACTCTCCAACAGCTATATCAGAGCAGTAAGTGACTGCCAATGCAAAACCAACATGCTGCTGCTATTTCACAATAAAAGCAACACAACTTTAGTGTGTAAAATTACTTGTGCAATGCACTGGATGAAATCAGATGCTGTGGTCATGGCATGATGGAAAGCTAATTACTGACTGATTTTAAGAAGAATACTTTATTAATCCCTCAAATGTTTTTTCAGTCACTTGTTAATGTTAGTATATTATTCACACATACACAAACACACGGAAAGATGTCAGGGCTCAGGGGCTGCCACTCAGTGTGGCGCCCCGATCGGTTCAGGGGCTCAGGGGCTTGCTCAAGGCCACCTTCGGCAGTGCCCAGGTGGTGAACTGGCAGACCTCCAGCTACCAGTCCACACTCCGTTTCTGTGGGCCGAGCTGGACTCGAACCAGTTACCCTCCAGTTTCCAGCCAAATCCTTACGGACTACTGCCGCCCCAAACATGAGTTTGTTTGGCTACACTGTAAATAGACACATCAGTTGCTCTTCTTATCTGTTTTGCTGCTCAATGAGCGTTTGCTGCCCCCACAATTCTTAGAAGTGTAGTATTAAAGAGTACTTGTTGCTACCAGCAGGAACAATCCACATCAACTGGGAGTGAAATCTTATAGATTAAAAAAAATCCTTTAAATTTATTTTAAAAGTTAAGAATTATTTTCTTTTTCTAATAACAACTAGCAGCCGTACCAGAGCCCCACTGCTGAGCAGGATCATGAAGATGATGAAAGTTTCAAACCAGCTGTGTTCCACGATCTGGTAGCAGGTCTTCCTCAGCCTCCACCAGGCCTGGCCCAGACCACGGCTGGTATCAATGTTGCAGCATTGACAGTGCCTCGTGCACACTGAGAGGGAAGGCAAAAACAAACCAGCACAGATTAAACCACATGAAGGAACTACAGTGTAAAAATAACTTATAACATCAAAAATGTATGTTGCAAAAGCTTTGATCAGATGGTTTGTTCATAGTTTTACTTGGGTTACAACTTGAATTCTTAATCCTCACATTCTGGGAAGCATTCCTCCGGCTCCATACTCTCTTCAGCCAGCTCTGATAAGTTGTCTATCTCTTCTCCAGGCTTCCTCAGATCCACCGTGCTGCCCTCCGACAGGCTGATCTCCTCCTGAGAAGTCAAAAGTCTTACTGTTGTCAACCAATTTCTCATAATATTTTAGAACCATTATGTACTTTCCTTGTCACTGAGCTTGTACCTTGAATATGTAAACAGTGTATGAACCAGCACTGAGTTGATGTACACATATATAGCACAGACTATAGACATACATAAAACCAGATTATTTCATCAGTTTATATTGGTGGTTTCCCATCAGCTGTCAAAGGCTAAACACCTGCTGTGACATCACTGATTGGAGTATGGCCATACGTGCAATATGCTTATAAATTTCAAACCAAACAGAACAGTGTAGCAGATTTTTTCTGCGCAGTATTCAGTGTGGATTCATCCCATCAAAGCAAACTCCCCTAGATGCACTGCCTTGCCTTTCAATCTCTTCTCAGCCTTAATAAAATTTTGATGAGATTTTCATGTGTTGTAACAGCAACATATTTAACATGATTTATAGGACAGAGGTGCAGCTTCAATCCTATAAACCGGTATGAAGTCTAATCCAGCATTAAAGAGCATCCACAGGTCCTGGAGACCAGATTACCAGCATTACCAGTCTTAGTGCTCAAAAACAGAGCAGAAAGAATGACTGATGGCATTTTAGCAGAATCAGTGATAACTATTGTCACATATTCTGTTGTAAAAGATGGGCTGCTAGCACTAGTTCTTTAAAGTGATCTACTTTTAAAAATGTCTAAAGTGAGTAACAACTTATGTGTAACTAACTTCTTAATAATCACCATCTTGCTTGTGTTTTTGTGTGTATTTGTGTATTGCTCAACACATGTAAAATGCATCCTTCTTTACTGCTGTGCAGCTGCTGATGCCCAGTTAAGCTGAGCTTTCCATTTTCCCTGATGCCTAATTCTGGTGTGATGTGTGAAGCAGAGCACGGCAGAGAAAGAGGAAGAGAGCGAGCCAGACTGCAGCCTGCTCAGCTCAGGCCCTGGCTGGCTCTGCTCAGCTGTGTCAGTATAATCTGCTCTGGAGGGCCTGGCTCCACATCTGGCCTGCTGCTGTCTGCCTGCCAGAGAGGTCAGGAGCAACACATCCTCCACCTCAACAAACCCCTTACCCACAGGACTCTGAGAGATAGAGGAATCTAGGAGGAACAGGAAGGGTGAATGAAAGTAAGTTTAGTTAGGTAGTTAGTTATCCTGGCAAAAACATCAGCCAATGATAAACATCTAAAAATATTGCCTTGACTTTGATCTGTTAGGTCCAAACAAGATATGGTCCAGTTAACTGCAGGTTCTCCCATAATCAGGTCTCATTCCACCCATCATGGTGTGGTGATTGTAATATTGATTCTCTCTGCGTCACATTGCTCCTTCCATCATAGTGGGGCATGTGACATTTTAAAGGAATGGTTAGGGATAGAGAAATGATTTACTTTATTGCTGAGAATTAGATGAGAAGATCGATACCACTCTCATGTCTGTACTGTAAATATTAAGCTAACACCAGCAGCTGGTTTGCTTAGCTTAGCACAAAGTGTGGAATCAGGGGGAAACAGCTAATCTAGCTCTGTCACTAATGACCACATTATATCTCTAAATCCAAATACAAACACCAACGTGTAACCTCACTCAGATCTTCTTATCTTACTTTAAGCTACTATATCTTTAATCATAAGCCAATGTCTGTGAGCTAATTGTCTATTAATACTAATAAAACAAATAATAATGCTAGCTTATCTCTGTCAGACTTGTGGTGCTCAGTATTCTTAGCAGAGTGGTCCCCAAACCATAATCCCTTAAAGCTCCTACACATCCATGAACCACCCACACAGTTTTAGTTTAGCCCGATTAGACCTCTTCTCACAAATGTGTGGGGAAGCACCATCTTTGTTTGATTGACATCTCCCTCATTCTCCTGTTAGTATTCTTGCTCCTGTTAGGTCGGGATAAATTACACCTTTAACATATTTATTGGTATATAGATTTTAGCATAGTAGGGTAGAGGTCTAAAAAACAGAATATGTTCAAACACCTGTGAAGGTATGCATATTGTCCCTATATTATGTTATTCACAACAGACATTTTGACGTGTTATAGAGGGAAAAGCACATGCGTTACTAATAAAATTAACGACGGCTCCGTTCCAGTAAGCCATGACAGTATGACAGAGAGTCACCATGCACAATGCCAGCATTTATTTTATTATTTACATGTGTGCTTTTCCTACTGTGACCAGTTAAAATACCTTTTGTGAAAAGACCTTTTTCATGTCAAGTACAAATTTTTGAAAACGTGTGATCCACATGTTTGTCTAACTGTCTGACCGAGATTAAGGACAGTCAGCTAAGCAGCACCTTATTGTGGGATACAGAAAGTTGGCTAATAAGAATGATCTTATCAGCATTATAATAATAATGTCGCAATGGCTGACGAGACACTGAAACTACAACTGGTTGAGTGTAGTTATTCAGTGACAGCTAAAGGGTACGCAAATTGTTCCTGCATCATCTTCTCCAGGAACTTGCTGTAGATGAAAATATGCTCTTTGTCATTCGGCCAGTTTGTATAATTGCTAATGATGTAACATATTAGGGTTAGGTCTGGTCAATTTATAAATATTCCTCCCCCAAAAAACCCTATATTATTATGGTCATCTTTTCCACTTACAACTCAGCTTTCCACATTGCTGTCCCATTCACAACCCCCCCTCCCCCTTCCCCAACACAAACAACAAATCAGAATTGGAGGATTGGAAACTGATTAGATTCTTCAACTTGGATGTTATTTCACTTCCAAAACAAACAGAGCGGAACTGATAGATCCTTTGAAAGGACTTTCTAAAATATTTTCTGACATCTTGGGTAAAGAGCCAGTAAACAATCTGCCACAAAAAGCACGTAGGTCCCCCTCCACTATTTAAATATGCAGAAATACCTTTTACACCTTACACTATTACAAAAACAAAAGAACACAAAAACACTTTGTATTTGCATAAATGTTGGCCACACATGAGCCACTCACATAACATTTATTGTAACAGTCTTAAGTACTATGCGATGTTTTTATTTTTTTTATTTATTTATTCAGGGAGCTTCACTGTGAGCAACCTCTCACTTGCAGGAATGCTACATCACATTCACACCGTTACACATTCACACCTGGAAGCTACCCAGTACAACCGCAGTCTGGTCTGCTGGCCACTAAGCAGCAAGGGTTATGGGCCTTGCTCAAGGGCGGACAAGCACTGCTTGTTTTACTTTCCACACCCAGAGTTTATTCTGCCGGTCCGGGGATTGAACCGGTGACCTCAAGCTCTCGTCTCTAACCTTTGGGCCACCACTTGTTACTGCTTGGGAAAATAGAGCCAGTGTTTAGTTCATTTAGTACATTTCCAATTAATTTATTCTAATGAACTGCTAGCGTAGCCAAGTGAGTCACACCATCACAAGGCAGCTGAACATGCAAAAATTTGAAATTTGTCTACTGGCAAGTATTCAATGTAGAATAATTTTCCCACTAATACATTAATGAATCTTTACTTGGTTTTGAATTGAGCAAGTCCATCATTAATGCCAAATTACTGTGCATAAATATTTTCAAGAAACTTCCTTGGAAATTATGGACTAGTAAAATAAAGCAGTAGAATGTTTTCAGTATTGTATGTCCAATAAAGTAACAGTAACGCTACAACAGTAAACCATCAGGTCCAGTGTAAACATACATATCTGGAGATGTAAAACTCACTGGTTTGTTGTCTTCATCCTCTGATGACTCAGAAATCTCCTCCTCCTCCAGAAACTCCACATCTGACTCTCCGGGTGCGATGGGAACAATGACAGTCAAATTCGGATTTGTCATGTAGCTGTCCTCCTCTGGTATGACGTACTTCTCTCCATAACTTCCAAAAATTCGCCCATTGCTTTCCACATGATTTCCAACCAGTTTGATGGCCTGACTGGTTTCTTTGGCCTTCTGCTTTCGACGCTTTAAGCTGCGATTGAAGAGGTCGGACAGTCTTGTCACGAGCCAGGAAACACCGATGTTGATGCGGGCAATGGCAATCTGAATATTGTTTAAATCACCATCCTCATCTGGAGCAGTGAGGTTGTCGGAGCTAAAGGAGCTGAGCAGCAGGGCTAGAAAGAGATTCAACACCTGTTGACAGACAAATGTTGTGTTACTTTCATTACATGTGATTCAGATAAATTATTAGAGCATTTTTATCCTTTTATAACCATTTTGCTTAAATATGCCAGTGATTGCTGTATTTACATTACGTTTTCATTTATCTTTCTCCAAAAATAAGCTAAAGGATAAGTGGGATGCACTAATGCACAGCATTAGGTGTACTTATCCCATATTTTGTAAACATTGGCAAATCCTGCATTGTATATGCAGGAGGATATTCGACTTAGATTTGCTCAGACACATATGGCTTTACGTGCTTTCAGCTACACTGAACTCAAGTTTCCAAACAACCATCTCCCAAGTAATCTGTCTACTAGCTTAGAGAGCACCAAGCCCATCTCTTCACATTAGCGTGTGTGTGTGTGTGTGTGTTTGTGTGTGCGTACAGTCTTTGTGCATATGTGATGTGCACAGTTGGTAAGGATCATCTTTAGCCTCTGAACCAGTCAGAGATGGGGAGCATGAACACATGATTAGTGATGAATGCCCTCTAAACTTCTCGCCCCTAAGCATCCTGGTTAATCCCTTTGACAAACAGCTTTCCCATGATTCATGTGCAGAGGATGTTTCTGTCCACTGAACACTATACAGAGCACTATTGTGATCTGGTCTTTGCCCTAACGAGACAATTGAGTCACTGAAGGTCATCTTTGATCAGTGCTACCGAAAGGGCAGAGTTAAGTATAATTTAAAGCTATATTGAGTATTTAAAGAGCCAGAAGGTGTGAACTGGTGTGAAACCACCAGAGTAAACATGATATAATGGTGCTGGAGGTAGAGTAGATAGGTGATTTTGCAACTGACCATTTGCTAAGCCCCGCCGCCTACTGTTACTACTCCTGTCAAGCCATGCGTCCTGGCACTACACATAATGCAGTTTAGAAAAAAAATGTCAAATTTATCACACAAAATTCTTGACATTTGGTCTTTAGTCATAAATATTGACATTCTGGCTACATTAATGGTATTGTGCTAAAAGACTGATGGCCAAGCTCACATCCCAGGCAAAAAGTCAGCGTCCTAGACCAGATATTGACTGTGACTAGATTTATGATTTAATGCTCATATTTTTAAACAGTATGCTTTACTTGGACAAGATTTTATAATGAAAAATAACCGATGAGTTTGGCAAAAGCAACACTACTAAGACAACGTCCCAAAACCAAATAAAAAGCAGGACAGAGCAACTGCAATTAGTCCCTTCAGGCCTCCCTCCAAAGCCACTCCCCCAAAACACATTTCCATGCACAGCGAATGTGTGGGCAGAGTGCCTGTAGGTAGCCATGCTTATTATAGTCCCGTATTTGATTTACTGATTGTTTCGGGATTTAAAGAGAATTTTAACAAATATAACAAAAAATGATTCTGAAATACTACCCCAACATTACCCCAGCTTTAACTCTGATTTACAGTATAGCATCAAAGCTCCGCTACAGCGGATGTGCCAGTCCTGAACAAGTAATTTTCTAACAATAAAATCTGCTCTTGTTGTTCTATAGTATGATCATTACTTACAGTTGGTAGAAATGTTTTACAATTTTTGTTGTTGCATATATTGTCAGGAAATACATCACTATATGAAGCTTCTTCCATAGATATTTTAGTTTAAATAATCCCCATGAAATATAGTGTCAGTCATCATCCCAGCAGACTTACAAATATTTTAGAACTAACCAAAAAGGTTTTAAAACATCTCTAACAGACAGATACATTTGAGAGCATAGGATTTAAATGTGGAACAAACTAGCATTTAGTGGCAGAAGGAACAGAGGGCATGCTGGGAACAGGTGTTTGAACCACATCCAATAGGAACTCCTCACTCAAAGCCATACAACATTTTTTCAAAAGCCTAACAGGCTTTTAAAACAGTTTTGCAACAGAACTGAATTGACTGTAGTGCAGATGATGTTCATATTGCAGTGTAGGCTATAATACTATTCTACTATGGGCTTAGCATGAGATGGGAAAGGCCCTAGCTGGTAGCACATTTGTTTCTTGTTTGGACTTGCATAACACATATCTCTTGCTAATGTATGAATTGATTAGGGCAAAAATCATGATAATAACAATGAAATAAAAACTAGAGTTTACTCACTCAGGCTGAAATAGTACTATAAACACTACAACCCTACATTATGTGATTATCTATATTTCAGTAATCAGCACCCAAATGACATTTAAAATAAAACTACACTGGCCATAAATAAATGCTGCGACTGCTAGCTGTCTGCTAATGCCAGCTCACAGGACACAGCTGGACAACAAATCACCATATGGATTGATCAACAAATATACATATCCTTGCTATGGCACCGAATGACAACAGCTGTGTACAAACAGAGGTTTCCCACAGATGAACTATTTTTTTTATAGAAACAGCTGCATGCAATGGTGTGCAAGCTGTGGGAAAATCAACACCTGCTGCAAAAGCTGGAAAGAGAGCAAGAACACTCTGTGGCCTTGGCTGATCCTTTGCACAGTACTTAGGTCAAAATTTCACCCATAAGGCTTAGTTCATTAGCAATGGATAAAACATTCAGCCCTGCAGGACATGAGGCAAAGCCGCTGCTAGTGCAGAGTGTGTCTGTTGTGGCTACAGTTTGCACAACAGCAAGTGCAGATAATACATATGTTACTTGGTCGGGGGGGGCAACAGATTGTATGTTGTCCAAACATGATCCTTTTTGAAGTCAGTAAATGCTAATCTGCAGGACAGTTAACCTGATGCTGTGACTTAACCACTTTCTCAGTGCCTACAGTGACTAGCGTCTGTTTAGGAGCACTGAAGGAAAAATGCCAAAACCGTTGTACCAACGAGGCACCAACAACTGTTCAAGGATGTCCCATCCTCATAATATGGAATCATGTATCCTCATTGGTGCAATATAATCCCTGATTACTCGTGACATCATCACTTGGCTTTGACAGCAGTTATAGTTGGGTCCATTGACGTGCAAATTAATTTCTCTCTAGGCAGACTTCCTGTTATCATACACTACATGAAAAAGCTAGCTATCAACATATGCAATAAAAAGACTGGTTACTACTGAAGATGTATATTGGAATATAATATTGTTTTTGTTTTTTTTAAGTTAAATAATTTTTTTTTAAATCATATAAAATGTCTAATTTAATACTCACCACCAAGTTCCCTATGACCATGACCAACATGAACACCAGGATACAGAGGGGCTGCCCGGCAACTTCCATACAATCCCACATGGTCTCGATCCATTCGCCACACAGCACCCGGAACACGATCAGGAAGGAGTGGAAGAAATCTTTCATGTGCCAGCGAGGCAGCTGACAATCAATTGAGATCTTACACACACAGTCCTGGTAGTTCTTGCCAAACAGCTGCATGCCCACCACAGCGAAGATGAAGACGATGATGGCTAACACCAGCGTCAGGTTTCCCAGGGCGCCGACTGAGTTGCCGATAATTTTGATGAGAGTGTTGAGAGTGGGCCAAGATTTTGCCAGCTTGAAGACTCGTAACTGATGAAGGGAACAAGATAAAGAAAACAAATTATGCTACATCTTTACTAGAAACTCTGCGTTTAAATTTGATATTGGATTCTAAGATGTTCTAGACTTCAGAAATGAGTATTATTTGACCTAGTTTTATGTTCTCAGTGACGTGAGTGTTGTGTAAAATTCTCAGATTTAGGAAGGATTGAATTGTTGACCTAGCCTCTGTCCAAACAATGGGATTAGTTCTTTTTTGTTTATACTACTAATGCAAAAAAAACCACACATAATGAAATGTTATTTACCTTTTTCATACAGTATTAATTGTAGTTTAATCTACTGTATTTAAACAGAGTCATCCATCACTAGCCTTATATGTCAATCAAATCTCTGGTTTCAAATCTTTGATTTATTGCATTTGTAAAAATGAATAGAAAGGCAATGGCAAAAACAGTAAAAAAAAGAGGTACATGAGTGAAAGTTAAAGATTTTGGTTACTAGTCTGAAAGATCGCAGGACAGACAGCCCCTCTACATTGGAGAGACCCAACTCCATCAGACTGAGGCAAACAATGACGCCGTCAAAGATATTCCAGCCCTGTTGGAAGTAGTAGTAGGGGTCCATGGCAATGAGCTTCAGCACCATCTCAGCTGTAAAGATCCCCGTGAACACCTAGAAAAGACGCAGAGGGACTGAAAAACAGGAAGAGGTGGAAAAAGTACCAAACTTTTCAAGTGGAATATTACTGTACTTTTTTTACTTGAAGCTGCACTTGTGCTGCTGTTCATTTTATTAATATTTATATATTAATAATGGTGCCACTTTTAGGACTCAAATATCCATGTAGTTCAGGAGAAGATATTTCAGAGAAATCCAAAAACATATTACTTCGATTTGCCTTCTTTTCAGTAGGTTTTTGAACTCGAAGACACTTGCAGTCTATAATTCACCAGTAGGGGAAGATGGCAAATGCAAACAAGGGAATGAGTCCCACCTCCTACTAAAAATACTCCCTCTTACCAAGGATAATCACAAATAGTCTAAAGCAGAACCTTTGACACAGGATCAACATGGCCATATTTGACCTTAAGTCGAGCACAGCATAACTGGCTATAATAAACCTAGCTGTCTGATATGAAAATACATTATCTGAATGAATGCCTTTTGTCTTTCCTCTTGGCTTTCAGTCCTCTCCACTGCAAACCCAAAGGCACTTAGGAGAAACTGTGTCAAATGCTGGAAACCTGCCATGTCCTTAAAAACCCTTACCAGATTGCCCACTGAAAGCATCGTGTTGAACTCCTCAGTCATGGGGTAGTGTTCCAGGGCCATGAAGAGGGTGTTCAGCACAATGCATATGGTGATACCCAGATCCAGGAAAGGATCCATCACCATGAACTTCACCCACTCCTTCATCTTCAGCCACCACGGGCAGCAGTCCCATATCAGGTACTTCTTGGCAAATGTGTACCAGCAGGGATGACACTTTTGCCTCGACTCCTCCAGCTCTGCAAAGAGATACCAAAGTGAACAATTCATATGCAGGCCTTTCATTAAAAGTAAAGCTATGCTTGCCTTTCCTTTCTTCTCAAACCCTAGTGGGCATAACCTTCCCGTTTTATGCTAGTTTCAATTTGTAAAAGGTTGTTGAGGCTCAACATAGTGAGAGCTAAAATATATAAATACATCTCTCACGTCTGTGTACTATATATGATGGAAATAGGGGGAAACAAGCTCGGCTCTGTCTAAAGGTAACAACATCAATCTTCCTGCACCTCTGCTGTTCAGTAATTATATCTTGTCTGTTACTACTGGTACTGCGCCTGGCCAAGAAATAGTCTGGCACAAAACCACTGGTAAAACTACAATTAACATGTACTTTTTTACACTAAAGCTAAACAATTAAATAAATAAGATTTAACTTAAACTTTAGAAGTAAACTTTAGAAGTCCTGGTTGTAGTTTTTTTTTACCTTTGGACAGAGCTAAGCTGGCTGTTTTCCCCCTATTTCCAGTCTTTATGTTAAGCTAAACTAACTAGCTGCTATAGAACTATATATTTATTGTACAGACATCACAGTGATCATACTGACCGATCTCATCTAATTCTCGGCAAGAAAGAAAATAAGCATATTAATACATAACAATAACAATTGTCAAACTGCTCCTTTAGTGTTGAAAAGGACTCACCATCCATGGCATCGCTGAGGAAGCTGACAGAGCTCATCCCTCTTTTCCTGCGCACTGGAGGAGGCTCGGTCACTGTCGGGGAAGGCTGAAGGAGAGGTCTGGGAACCGTGTCCTCTGCGCTGGTGGACTTCTGGTAGGCAGAAAACACCCAAAAATGAAATACAAGGCTTTCTTCTCCTTTTATTTGGTGGGCTGTCAGAGATGTTTTACGTCCTAATAAAAGCATATTGTTCACTCTTGCAGGATTTTCTAATTAAATACAGGCTTCTCTAACTCACTGTGTCTTCTCTGATCCTCTCCATGCTGTAAGCAGGCATGGAGGTGGGAGTGTGTAGGCCCAGAGTGGTGACCCCGTTATGGTCTAGGGAAACATTGAGCCGACCATTGACATTGAGGCTGGGGGTGAAGATTTGGGAGCAGTGGCTCCGCACACTGCCCGTCCTTCTCTTCCATGGTGTTGCAGATGAATTGGTGCGACTCCTGAAGGCGTCCCCATGAACGCTGTACTCGTCATCCCCAAAGTCAGCCTCCGAGTTGTTGCGTACCCGGAAAGAGCTGAAGATGCTGTTCTGGCTTCCTCTCCTGGTGCTGAGGGGGTGAGACGACAGCGTGGCCAGCAGAGGGTGGACTGGAATAGGAGACAGAGGAGGCTACAGAAACACAGAGGATACGTTAGCTCCTATGGCTTTTAATGAGAGCATCAAAGACTGGGAGAAACGTTTGGAGTGTGATTGTTGGGTGATGTACCATTGGCTCATCCAGTGGGTCAAACTTCTCTTCCGCAGCTTCCTCTGCAGTTTCCTCAGACAACGTTCTGTGTGATCTTCTTCTTCTGCTGCTGCTTCGACGAATGCTGCCTGTCTTCAGACAAAACGGAGACAATTCTGGGGACAACACTGAGTCTGTATCCTGTGCTTGTCTTTTTGCTGCCAACTACACAAAGAAAGGAAAAACATCAAAGGATATTAGTTATTGTTTGTTGAAAGCAAACATGAAAATATGAAAGTCTTGGCTGACTGCTTGCATTGCACCTACTCTTTGCTCGCAGCGAAGATGCTCCATAGCCAGCTGAAACTCCCTCTCCTTCTGCCAGGCCTCGGCGATGGTTGCCTGATTCTGCTCCTCATAGGCCATGGCCACTACAGCCAGGATGAGGTTGACCAGGTAGAAGGAGCCCAGGAAGATTACCAGCACAAAGAAAACCATGTAGGTCTTCCCTGCTGAGCGTAACGTCTGAGGGAGCACACATGAAGTCAGTACGCCATGTTGGATACCTTTTACTCAGTAATGACATTACTGAGTTTTGGGGGCTCACTGTGATTTGGCTGCACAAAGCAGTTCAAGATGGAAAGCAACAGACAGTCAGATAATAAGAGGTAAACAAATCCTCAGTTCTATCGGCTTTATCTAAATCGGGCATCTGATCAGGATGGCACGCCTTCCTTTGGAGGTTTTCCAGTCACGTCCAACTGGTAGGAGCCCCCAGGGTAGACCCAGAATATGCTGATTACATATCTCATCTGGCTTAGGGTCACCTCTGCATCTTCCCTGGAAAACGCTGCTGGGGAATAGGGATGTCTGAACTACCTTGCTTAGCTTGCTGCCATCGTGACCCAGCCCCTGATATGTTACAGAAAATGGATGGATGGATCTAAATTCTTTATTCAGACAAAATAATTAAATGACAGCACCTTAAATAGCCATTATCGGTACTGTCCAACTCCTGAGGGAACTATCTGTGTTTAGCTGCTAAATGCTCCACGCTAAAACCCTCCATAGTGGGGAACTGCAGAGTCAGATGAGTAGTATCAGTAGGTTTGTCACTATTTGGAATCCCAACAATGCTTAATCATTGTCATTTGACCCAGCATTCAATACTTGTGTTTATATCCTGCCTGACTGTTAATGTTATGGATGACATTGTGAAGTTATGTTGAGTCACTGCGCCAACCATACTGTATCTCTCAAATTAACCAGGTAAGTAAAATAGCATTATAACCAATGGAAATAATGGTCAGTCTAAGGAAACACAACTAAACAAACTAAATGTCCCTTTAAGCATCATTATTTGACGTTTGCATTCTATCATGTATTTGTGAACTGAAATTAATGAGGAGTTAAAAATATAATAATAATAATAATAATGATAATATATAATATAATTCAGTTGGCACAGCATATCGTCACAGGATACTGATAGATTAAAATGAGATTCAAAAATTGCACCTGGTGAAACAGTTTTTCCCAGTAGTCTTGCGTCATGAGTCGGAAGAGGGCCAGGAAAGCCCAGCCGAAGGTATCAAAACTAGTGTAGCCATAGTTTGGATTCCTCCCTACTTTTAGGCAGTCAAATCCATCTGGACACTTCCTGTAATGCACAAACAATTGAAAGGCAGAAGACAGATGTACCAGAGTTAAAAACATCTGGCCTTTGACTCCACAGGGTAGAGAAGCGGATGAGTCAGTAAGTACATACACTGCTATCAACACCATTATTTCAACTGAAGAGGGCACTTGAAATTCGTTCCAGGCAGGAGCACTAAAATGCACTGGAGCAAAAGGGATTATGATGAGCCAGATGGATATCAAATTGCAGTTCAAAAATGTTCAGCTTCATGCCTCCATCTCTGATCTTCATTGTCAGCATAGTGGCATTACAGCAAATATTTAAGTCCAGCAGCTGAGAACAAGCTGGACTGGCATGTCAATCTCAGCGCAGAATAATTTTGTAATGGCCGGGAAACAGCTGGGCGGCAAAGCGCTGCTGTGAGAACAGCTGTAGATCTCACCAACCAGCCAGCTAAGCAGGAATTCTCACTAATATCCAGCAGTGAGGACAGAGGAGGCTGCGTGAGGCCAGCAACATCTTCCTGTCAGGCTGTCCCTTTCCTCTGCTGCACTGCTCAACCTGTCAACAATCTGTTCGCCTCTTTTACTCCGTATGACTAAACACACACAAAACCTGCAGACACTGCAAGTGTTGTCTTAAAGGACTGCACGCTGGTTTTGCATATTTCCGCTCATTGATTGTATCATTTTAGTGAATAAATGATATTATTGTTGACCATTTTTTTAGGCATACCACATGGTTTTTAGACTGATTTTTTTTGTATTTAAGAAAACGGTGTCACCCTTTTGAACTTTACATAACAAAATTTACATGACTTCTCGACACAGCTTGAGAGTTTGATAAAATTGTTCATTTCAGCATGTTCTGCCGTTTTATAGACACATTTTTAATAATAATAATATGCAGATTAATTATTAATTAATTACTGCAGCAACTCTATTCATTTCCATACTATAACCGAATTCATGGGAAGTATGAAATCAATCTAAATTAAATTTAAAAAAATGTTTATGTCAACATTGAGGTTTTTAGTAACTTCCCTGGAGACTGCTCTTGCATTCATTCGTGCTCAGTTAGCGCCCTTCAAAGAGAGCTGTTAAGCCACATGCATTCGCTGTGAGGTAAGATCTGCCTCCACACAGACATCTACCACAGCCAGCAACATTTGCACGCTCGTTTGCACAGGTGAGTCCAGAATTTGTATTGTCCCGTAGTGTTTTACTTTCATTCCAAATCATTAGTAATACACTAGACAAATTATTCCATAAGAAAAGTTTTTTGCCAAATGCAGCTGGCCTCATCAAAAAAGCTTGCGACCGCTAATGACACAGACTCTCACATCCACCCCCCCCCCCCAACACACACACACTTTTTAGTGTACATACTGTAAATTTGTCACATGTAGACCTGATTCTGATTTTGTAAATCTGAAGTAAATATGCACATATTACTTTATTTTATCACTATTCTCTTAAAAATGTTATACCTTATCAGTTTAATATTGTAATATTTATACATTTTATGTTTATTGTTAAGCACCAAGTCACCAAAGCACATTCCTTGTATGTGTAAACCTACTTGGCAATAAAACTGATTCTGATTCTAATTAGATTTCTTTTGAGGCAATTGTGTTTGAAACTAGTCAACTTACAATTTAAAGACTAAAAAGTTAAGGAGAAGAAATACAGACACTACAGTATGGTCCTTCAAACTTTCATACAAGTTTACAAGTCATGTCATATAACCAAAGCAACACAATCTAGAGTGTTAAAGAGCTCTATGAAAGCTCTTTGCTAACATGTTTACAATATTTATAAGCAGTATCCTTGAGGTGTACCATCAGTTTCCTGCAGTTTGTGTAACAGAACAACATAGGAACATCTGTCAATCACATTAAAGTGTTTTCCCTCTATGGTGGGCAGGGCTGGGGGGTGGGGTCAAGGGCAAAAGTTGAAAGTCATAATCCTTGATGCACAGTGGCTTTAAGATGTGAGGGGATAAGCGTTTGCCTGAACTCTACAGTAGGCGCGATGAGAAACAGCTTGGACCTTTGAGCAAATCATTTATCACAAACTTGCTAACCATCTAGGTTGAAAATATCATTTGAATATGTGTGCATGTGTGCATGTGTGTGTGTGTGTGTGTGTGTGTTTGCGTGTGTGCTCACTTGTGCCTGTGTGTTTGTGTGCATGTGTGTGTCATCATAATGTATCCAAAGATTTAATTTGGAAATCTACTCAGGGATTACTTGTTGGAATACACTCAAAAGATTAAGCATCCTCTATGTTTTACGTCCTCCATCCTGACCTGCTTAATATCTTGCCCGTCTCCACAGTCAGCCTCAGAAAGTTCCATGTAAAATGTCACAGAAGTTAAAAGGCTGTCTCATTCATTTTGCCAACAGACACACAAGCTGCCATATGGTTATTTTAACCTATAACCTTGCAAGTCTGGCATGAAGCTGTGTCATTGTGTCTTTGACTTAATGTACACGTAACCATAAAGAAATGAAAAATGCAATAAATACCACATCCTTGGTGATGACTGAGCAAAGTTAACAGACAAAAGGGCTAACCGTCCTTGTTCTCTTATTGTCCAAAGAGCCATTAAAACAAACAAAAAAAAGCTTAAAACTTAATGAGACTGAATGTCAATCACTGTTAGAGCTCCACGCACAAAACACAAGCAACAGGCAACAATTTTGTAGGTAAACTCTGGCACAGCTGGATAGGTTATATTGGTACTAGTCTGATTTTACTGACCTACTATTTATGGGAGTTTAATGATGTCATTTACCCTGACTGCCCTCAAATGTATCCTCTTTTCGCTCTGACTTGAACACAAATTACTGAATCAGATTTTACTTCTTGGGAGATTAAGTTCCTGTGTTTTTGGAGGAGAGGTTACAGAGTGAGATTAAAAACTAAAGGGTTGGCTGCACTGTGATCCAGATAAAAATGTGTAACTACCTCTGTCTATATTTGTAATATTATCTGGTTAAAATACTGCATTAATATTAATATTAGCTTAATCCTATGAAAAATAGTCTTACACACACTAAAGGTCTGCTAGAGCTGTTAACTAAATTTTGGCAAACCGAGGCTGGTTCTCTTTTTTATTGAAACTTCTCTTGCACTTAAACCATCTCTGTTTCTTTTGTCCATGTTTTATACAATGTATGGAAGTGTTTTTACCTATTATGTGTTCCCATTTTAAACAATGTTGTCAGCAATACTGAACATAGAAACATGGGACTCCCTGGGAGGATGTAACAATCCTATAGATTTATGTTATAGCCACCAGTTTAATTATTTCTGTTCTTGAAAAATCATGTTCTGCATGTAATTGAATTTACACACAATTGGCCCAGAATTTTGAAATGAATTGAATTAAAGGTGGGGAATGCTATTCTGGAGAAAAACAATACCACAAAAAATACCATGATATAGAACAAACAATGATACAGCAAGTAGGTTGTGGGTTAACAAACTACTGCTACAATTGCTGCTGCAAAGCTTACATGCAAAGAGGAGGAGACAGTCCCAGAGTCAGCACACAATTCACAACTCTCCTGCAGCAGTAGCTAACATCACAACAACAGCATATCTTGGCAAACTAGAGAGAAAGCTGAAAGTCCCTGGGCATGTCATTTAAAGTTAGCTGACACACAAATCAATGCTGGAACGGCTGGTACAGCGTTGTGTGTTTAGGTCTGAGCCACTTTTTCCCATTTACAGAACCAGGTCTGTCTACAATCACTGTATTTTTTTTCACAGAATGGACAGCTAAAAGACAGTGAGAGATGTATTGGATTATAATCCCACCTTTAAACTGTGTTTTCAGATTTCTCAGATTTACCAGTCAATTAATTACAAGACCGCATCAACGCTACACCGACTATCATTTTTCATTAAGCTGTGAAACAAGCAGCAAATCGGCACATTGAACAAGTTGGAATAAGTTACTTAATATAATAATCAATTATTATATTATAATCAATTATCAAAATAGTTAAACATCATCATCATTTGCATTTAATCGATGTATTAGTATTCATTTGCCTGAATCTGTGTGGATGCATGTGTGTCATTGATGTTGTTTAACAATACCCTTTTGCTCTTTTAGTGTTAAAAGTGATTTGTATTACTTATTTTCTTGTCACAAATAAAGCTATTAAATAATAATAATAACAACAATAATTCAAATGGAAACATTTTCTGTGCTTTTAAAGAACTTTTGAGTGAACCCTGAAAAATGGGTCTGAATGAATTGAATTACTATTTATGTACCAACAACTAAAACGATTCTTGTTTTAAGTAAGAAGACATTTTTATGGAAGAAAAGGAAAAACAATCTGTACCAAACTTCCCCGTTAAAGCTTAATATCGTCACCGTTTTTTGTTAGTTGCTATCATCCATTAACTTGTATCATTAACAAGAGCACCTAACGGAAGCCATTTGTTGAAGCTGCAGGATTTCAGATTCACACAGATGGGTATTTAGTTCATTATAACCCTTGAACTGGGCCTGGCATGGGCAGAGTCATCCTGTTGTGCTTGTTTCAAAAGCATTTGGATTTATAGGATTATTCAGTGCGTCGGCTGAGTAGCAATATTTGGATGGTTTCACGCTGTGCCTTTCATTGGGAACAAAGTCCATCAGTCCACAGATAAAATATCATCTATAACGCAAACTGAGGTACAGCTTGAAGACTTCTGTTCAGTATTTCTCTCAACAATAACAGAATATCAATCCCAAGTGGTCCGGTCCGCTCCGGTTAACCTAATCATCATCAATCATGTCATAGAGCTTTTGAGATGATGAAATCTCCAAAGACCCCCCTCTCTCCAGCTGGCAACTCCATGTTTCTCACTAAAGGGTTCCAGTGGAGCCGGGGTGATTATCCACGCCACATGTTGTCTTGTGGACAGCCTCTCTCACGCTATACCTCTCCCTCTGACGGGACCATTCCTCTATACATTACCTCACCTCTAAGTCGCAGATTTAAATATGAAGCTTAAAGCACATCATCTATTGTTGTTTCTGTATTTTCTCGTTCTGTGAAAACTATTTGCCCCAAGCCTGATGCTCAAGCTACTATATCCAATTATCCAGAGGACATGCATGGGATCAAAAGCCATTAGATGCTTTGATGTTATGTAATAGCCTGCAGATGATTAACAAGCAGTAAGCAGCACAAACACTCACTTACCCTGCATCACTTCCATATCCACATATTAAGGCATCCTTTGCTCCTTCAACTTTGTAAAAATTATCTAAGGAAAGGGGGAAAAGAGGATAAAAGCACAAAATTGAATTTTATTGAATGTTAATGATACTGGACAGTTTTCAGAACATTGTATGTGTGAAATGCGTTCCCAACACCAGTCTCTTATTTTTTGGCTGACCTTCATTGCTGAGGAAATCCGCCCTGGAGCTCCAGGTTCTGTTGTTGCAGATGAAGGATGCATTGGTGCTGTAGGAGGAGTTAACACAGTGCGAGAGGCTGCGGATGCACTTTTGTCGTAGTAGGCCCATGAAAAGCTGCAGGCCAATGAGGGCAAACACGCTAAGACAGAAGACGGTCAGGATCATCACGTCTGCCAGCTTCCTCACAGACTGAATCAAAGCGCCGACGATGGTCTTGAGACCTTGACGGAGGAGAGGAGACAATATATCAATTGTTTGGTAACACAAAGATAAATTAAGTTTTCTGTTGATGTGGGAGAAGCAGATTCAGACATGACTGGAAACGAGAGGAGGCACAGATGGCCTGAAGTTTGACCTGATGGGCGTATTACCTGGGATGACTGAGATGGTTTTGAGTGCTCGTAGTACTCTGAAGGTTCTTAATGCTGAGACGTTTCCAAGGTCTACAAATTCTGTCACATATCTGGAATTAGAAGAAGATACCCATAAGGTACAATCAGCAGGGTTAACAAATAATGTTCAGACACTCTTAATGGTTTGTATATCATGTCTTTAAAAATACATTTCAATCAAATAACATTATGGGTTTGTAATTAAAATTATTTTTATTGGTGTAGCATCTTGGGTCCTTTCAGTAATTTTCTAGACCTGCAGCGAACAAATGTATAAACCAAAAACTGTAGAACAGACAAAGAATGTGTCAGTGACTTTACTTTGGTCTTCGCCAACCCCTGAGGGAAAAATCTCGCTCTGTAGCTGCTAAATGCTGCACTATGTTCACCAGCTAGTCGCTTACTTTCTCTGTCTGCTGTTACAGCAGTAAGAGTGAACCAAAATCCTAAACAATAAACTGAAAGCTGTAAAACTCTCCTTGTAGCTGAGTGATGATTATCTGTGGCTTCATCAGTACAACTCCTTTCACATACAAGTAGTCATATGATCCATTGTTAATATAAAAACATTGATTGTATCCTCCTTAGCAGTTAAAACAACAGAGTAGCATGTGTTTAGTACCTGTGAATAGAAATTATGTAATTGTACTGAATGAACTGGCTGACTGAACCGTAATTAATCAAAAACAAATTACTGGCGGATGGTAAAGACAGCTTTCAGTGTGTTTACAACCAGTAAAGGGATTTTGACTTGCTGTTTTCAAACAAAGCAAATGTCCTATCAGGATGATTGGTTTCAGACAATGCTGCATCAATGCAGTGGGAGGTCACCTATCTAATCTGCCACCTCCATCATGGGTAGCAAGTCATGGCACACAGATCTCTGACCTCAACAATAGGCTTATCGTTCACGGTGTTTCAAATTACCACTCAAGATGACTGAATAACACTGAAAGAAGAAATTGTTCTTTTTAATCTGCCTGTCATTGCAGCATGTCCCACAAGCAACAACACTGAGTTAAGGAGGACCTTTATTTAGACGTTTCTCTGGTAGTTGTAGCCACTGCTGCTGTGAAATGAACGTCATGTGAGGTTCATTGTCTAAATATAAATAAATTATGAATGATATTGTTACTTACGCCATGACAATGACGGTGAAGTCCAGCCAGTTCCATGGATCTCTCAAGAAGGTGAACGGCACTATACAGAATCCTCTCGCAAACATCTTTATTGCCGACTCGAAAGTGTAAATGCCAGTGAAAGTGTACCTGAAAAATATTCATGGAGGGGGAAAGAAATTAAGTTAGGTCTGAATCCAGAACAAGCTCTACAGGCTCTTAATGGTTCAGAGCTTTAAAATAAACCACAAGCAGCAACAATAAGGACCGAGAGGCAAAGCATGAAAAAATAAGAGAATGCACATTAACATGCACCGTCAGCCCCAACTTCTCTGAATGCAGCTGACCATTTATAGCAACTTTAATTATGGAGGAGTGATGTCACTGACATATTGTGTGCAAGATATGACCTATAACATGCTTAAGTAGTTTAAAATAACAATATGAGCTCATATATTCCATGTTTACAATACAAACATATACACAGGTAATAAATGCTTACAGTTTAAGACTTTCTAGTGGTTCATTCATATTCGATTTTGATACTTTTCATATTAAACAACAGCTTCATATTTAGCTTACAGATATGAGAACTTACTCTCTGCAAGAAAGGGAACTTAGTCTCTTTTCACATTTATTATAAATGTATTTCTAAAGTTGCAAGAGTAAATTAACAAAAAAAAATATTTTTTTAATGCAGATAGCATGCTGCATGCTCAAAATGCCTGTGAACCATGGATGATGACAATAACTTGGCCACATCTTCCACATCATGCATATCACAATATTTCTGAAGAATTTTAAGCAGCAATTTTCATTCCACACCACATGCTTTAATATGCCTATGTATGTGGCGTTCGGGCGGCAGTAAATATTACATGCATCATATACTTACATGTCAACTGATTCTTCCACTCACTGACAAAACAAACCGTAGTAAAGCTCCACATTAGAACACATGTGCTATAGTTTCAATTTCTGTCCGAGACACAAAGTTTAGGGTCAGATACTATGTAGGGTACAGTATACAATACTGTGTATACTTACTCCAGGTACTTGGTCCATGGTGCTGGATCAGACATGGCCATGAAGAAACAGTTGGTCAGTATAGTGAACATTATGAACAAGCTAAATAATGTGGAAACAAAGTTAAGGAAAGTGTACTGTGAAATAATCATATACAGTAAAATAACTTTTTGTGATAAGCCAAAAAGAACAACAATATTTCTTGTAATCCTATGAAATATACCCATTAGGATAAACCATCACTGTGTGTGCCAACAGCATTAAAACTTTAGTAAATGCAGATTATGGAAAATGTAAGTAAATTCCACTTAAAATTAAATCATGGGAGTGATTTCCTTCCTTCTTATGGATGAATAAAACAATAACAAATCATATGTCAGCTGCTGAAAGATGAAATTATTTAAATCAATTTCTTTGAATAACATTAATTATTTAATATTCTTATCCATATGATAATTTATTATAAAATTAAAAATTAATAGTTTTTTTGCCAATAGGACTTAAAGGGTAACCTCAGTATTTTTCAGCCCGGCCCTGATTTTCTCCATCTTTTAGGCCTATGTGACTAATTGGGACAACATTTTTTAAAAGTGCATTTGTGCCACTGACAACATTATGGGAAGGATCCCTACAGAGATAGACCTTTCAAGAGTAAGATCCTTTTTGTTTAACCAGAAACAGTTGCTATATTGCTCTAGTCAAAGCCACCAGACTCCTTTGACAAAAACTGTAATTTTATTGTCAGTAACAAATTAACTCACCGAGGCAACTGTAGACCAGCAACTCCTATGTTCTGCGAGGTAAAATTGCTGTTTTAGTCAGTGGAGTCTAGTGGCTTGGACGAGAGTGCTATAGTTACGGGTTCTGGTGAAACAAAAAGGATCTTACTCTTTATAAAAAGGTCTATCTCTGTAGACGTCCTTTCCACAATGTTGTCAGACACTTGTAATTACAATCAGAGCCTGTCAGTGGCAAAAACAAGTACTTTAATGGACGTACTATGAAGGCTGCAATTGCTCACAAGGATTAGGTTGCAGCCCTGTTTCGCTGCTGATGACTGCAGCCCGATCAATATTGGACTAATTTAAAAACAATATTAGTCACACAGACACAAAAACATAAGGAAAATAAGGTTCAGGTTGAAAATTACTGAAGTTACCCTTTAAAATGTTGTTCAGAGCTATTGTTGTCTGTTACAGTCATCCATGTGATTTATCAGTTGCAGGGAATCAATATCAGATGCTAGATGTTATTTAATAGATCATTTGATCAATATATTTTTTGTCATCTATAACATAGAGAAGATTCAGAGGAAATATTCCCTCATGCATGTAAAGTATGAATCAGCTGTCTGAGAACTAATAGGCAGCCGTCACAGGATGTGAAATCTCCTTGCTCTTATTTCATTTCAGAGATTAAAAGAGGGATATGCGGGGATTTGGTTTTGTGATGCCAGAGTAGACCATTACAAAGCTGTTTCAAAAATGGGACTATGGAAAAATCCAATAGAAGCCTAAGGGGGGAGGAGAAATCAGTAAATATTAGAAATTGGCTTATCTGCCAGTATTTCTTTTCACAGTGGTTTGTTCTCAGCAGGCTGCCCAATTCACAGTCTGATCTTCATGTTATCACAAATGTCACGACACTGACATTAATACTTTTACTTTGAAGTGAAGCACTTTTTGAAGTGGTTGTCAAACACTGGTGTGTAAAAGCAATATCTGAAAGGAGTTGTGTCAACCTGAGGCACATCTAATCCTGTTTATTAACTATTAAAATATGCCCATATCACTTCTATTATCTATTTTTTTAAAGCATTTTCCCCGTAAGGGCGTTCACCCACCAGTACTTTATTACAAATATTCATTCATATCAACCTTAAACAAACTAATTGAAGTGACTGGTAATATGGTCCAACGGGAAATAACTTGCCTCCATCAAACAATCACGTCAATATTTTACATGACACAGGACTTCCATAATCAAAAAGGATATGAGTGGACTAAAATTTTTATGGCGATTGATCTGATGAAGTGAAATGGACTTAATATGTAAAGTGCAGATGTGGCACTGAATCTGAAGATGGCCTTTCCTTTGTTAAGTACTATAAAAGTCTGCAAAGAAGAAAGAAAAAAAAAATCATTAGTCTCACATTTTTCTAACATTATTTAAATAAATGAAAAACAAAACAAAACAAATGTCCTGAATGAGCCACAGCAGAGAGATAGAAAAAAACATCATCAGAATGTAAATACATTTCCCAAAAAAATGTTCCCATCATGTTCAGGCACATTTGTTTCCATTTCTGCAGAGAAACTCGACAGCAGCTCTGAGCAGGATTTTAAATGATAATATAGCTACTGTGTTGAGTCTACCACTCATTCTACCATCTATGTTAACTTCCACCACAAGCACTTCTGCCTCGAAGAAAGCTCTGGGTGCACATGCATGCAATGAGCAAGGCCAGTTGAGATAATGGAGTCAACTCCAAAGCGGGGCAGAACCTTTCCCCAACAGATGTGGCATTTATTTAAATATTTTTTCTTCTTTGGATAATCCTCCCATCCAGCAGCGCATCACATGCCAAAACAAAGAGACCCTGAGAATGCCTGCCACGTCCTTTTTCATCTCTCCGTAAGCGGCCCATTAACGGGCAGCAGCCTGATCTACTCTGCAAATCAAAACTTGCTGATCCTATTTCTGCAATCTAAAGAGATGCAGTCGTTGTCCTCTTGTCTCGGCTGCAAGCTGCTCTAAAACACCACTTGGTGAATTCAGTGCAAACCTCAGCTGATCAGGGGGTTCACTGTCATATCATGTTCACAAGTCCAGATGATAATTAAACGTGCAGGAAGATTTATCAGTGAAACAGTACAATATCACTGATACCACTCGTATACCAATGATAGATCAGTCACAATTTTAACCACAATTAACCGTTTCTTGAGATGCAATTGTGTCAGAAACGTGTAACTGTTTGATCTGTTTAATGCAAGTTGTTTGCAGGAAATGAAAACCATGCAGTTGTAGTATTAAATAATATGTTCACAATACTTCTAATCTGTCTAAAACAAATAGTCAGATGCCCATGTGCACATGAAACAGTTTTGCTGTAATCTTTCCTCCTGTTCATACTGGCCAATCAAAGATTCCTTTTTAATCCTAGTGCCCAGTGTAAGTGTTTAAGAACAAAATCTACAGTCGTCGTTGTTCTGTGCAAAAACGTATTCCAAAGTTTAGCTGAAGGTTGAGCCTTCAACTGTCTGAGTTCAGCAAATAAAGCTGGTATATTCTAAAGCTTGTTTTTACCTGTCCCACTACTTTGAATTTTGTGCTAAAATACTAAATTTGGAAGATAGCTACCTGATATGATTCAATCAGAGCTCTGAATCCTCATAATAACTTCTATCTAATCTATCTTCTATCGAATCTAAACTTCTGAATATATTTTTGCATAGAACGACAACTGATTTCACAGAGCTTCTAATGGAAGCATGTTTAAATGGCGAGTATGAACAAGAGTAAAAAGAAATACTGTTTTCACTGTATGGCATGTGAGTATTGTTTTAAGACACACTTGAAAAAAAGTGAAACTATTTTTTACGTTGATGCACTAAGTGGCTTGTACAGTATGTCTTCTTAAGCCATTACTGTATGTGGGGGGTGGTGATGGTACAGTGAGAAACCCAGGTTCAATTCCCGACTGTGACACATCCACCAATATGTCCCCTAGTTGCCCCTAGTTGCTCCAGAGGTGTGCGACCTCTGACATATCTAGCAAGCGTCGTAAGTCGCTTTGGACAAAAGCATCAGCTAAAAGTTAATGCAAATGTCCAGTCCATGTAAACTGAAATGTACAATAAATAAACAGAAATGGAGGTGAGATTAGATGGTTGAAAGTTCAGTTTGCTGCCTTTCTTTGTCATATAGTAAACCAAATACATTTAGGGTTAGGTTAGGGTAAGACTTTGTAGGTTTGGACTGTGGAATTATTCACTATTATAGGACAGTTTGTTTCTCTATCCCAGTGAGAATGTCTCATTGACATAATGCAGTTCATATCCCCTTAACCAACTACATGCCTAACCTTATCTCTTACCCTAACCTAAATGTATCCTGAACCCTAAAACCAATTTAACTCTCAAAAAGCAGTCTCTCCATTTTTGTCCCCACAGTGACATGAGACCACATAGGTTGGTGTGCATTCAGTTTAAAGTCCCCACCGGATATATAAACATTAAACACACAAAAACAGACAGAAGCTCTCACCCTCTTGTTCTTGTAGTAAAACGGATCAATGTCCTCCAGTGGCACCCCGATAAGTTCTGGAGGGATGTCACCGAAGATGCGTGGCAGCTGCTTGCCTGCTTCCAGGTCAGCCCTGGGTTTGGGTGGCTCTGCGTTCCTGTAAGCGTCCTTACAATCCTTGGCGTTCTTGGCCTGCTCCTCCGCAATCCGCTGCTCCAGCGCAGCCAAGGATTCGCGAGTGAACCGCCGCAAGCCATCAGGACCCGTTGGTAACAGCATGGCTGCCATCTTTTCATCCTGATTCTCCTGTACTAGAATTTACTTACAGCTACAGGCATGGAAGTGGGCAGAGAAGACAGAAAAAGCAGAGATGGAAGAAGGTGAGAAAGAATGAGGAATCTGATTCAGTCATACAGGTTTATGAAACAACAACTTATGAACCAACATAGCTTCTTGGATGTCTTTCTTAAATACAAAGTACAGATCACCGTCCAAAACGCAATTTTTTTTGTGTCAGTAGTTAGCACAACAAACTAACTGTACACACAAGTTTTCAAATGTCTTCAGAATCAGAAAATGAATCAGAAAATCTCTAGCTCACACAGGTATACAGAATACAGAATCACATTGCAAAAAATATGCACATTATGGAATAAATTTGTCCTGGCCAGAGGGTTTTTTAAACAGCGGCATGATGGGAGGAATTGGAAGAAGTTATGGAGATGAACAGAGTGTGATGAGGGGTGTTTTACCATGGCCTTTAACCATTAATTATTGCAACCTATCCTGTAGAATGTTTTTAATCCTTAGCACCAGTCTTGGGTTGACTTGTAGTCTAGAGAGGCGGTTATGCAAAGTGTGGATGTTCACTGTATTTAAAGCTGAGCGGAATCCAACCACCCTCAACCCAGTTTATCAGCAACTGAGCTGGAGAGGTGATTACACACAACACACGCTCCATGTATTTACACAGCACAGATGCTAATGCTACTGGCCTGTAGTCTATAATGGTGGAACCTTTATATATGTGGGGAAGAAAGCTGGATTCGAGGAGCTGCCAGAAGAGTTGGGTCGTGACGTCATTCCCAAAGTAATGCTAACGTTGCTCCATGTCTGCTTGATGTGTAAATAATAGCCGCTGTATGTTAACATGTTTGGCATGTCAAAATTATGAAGTGATTTTATGGCAGTATAGTTTTTGCAGCTTGTTATGCGTCCCCCAAGTGGCCAAAAAAATTAATGAATCTGACAAGGAGGATTTTAACACATAGACTGCACCTGTTTTTACCAGGATTGTATAATTATTCTACAAACGTATAACATCAGAATGATTTAACAAATACTTAGAACATGAAAGTTGCTCAGTAAAAACATGTCTGAATGGGTTCTTCCAATAATGTCAGATAGGATTCAACTCAGCAATTAAGAAACAGGAAATATTCTCATTGTGAGGAAAGCCTAACAGTTCTATATTTTCAGTATATGTGGTTTTCATTGTCAGCTGGGATTGGCTCCACCCCCCCGCGACCCTGTATGGAGGATAAGCTGTTGACGATGGATGGATGGATGGTGGTTTTCATTAGGGGCACAGGCCCGTACGTCACCATCACTGAAGCTCTCTCGTGTTCTCCTTTTCAAAAATTGTGTAATTGCAATGTACTGTATAAAGGCTTAAGTCAAAAGCTGTTTTGATTGGAAGATGGTGCGGAGGGAAGTCCAGAGACACGATATAAATATTTTACCCTTACCACTGACCACTGACTTCCTGTTATCCAACTATTTCTGTCAAACTAGGGCAGCCATAGTTCAGAGGCATAGGGATTAAGTCCACAGACTGTAGCCCTGACCAGCACTGATTCAGAATGGCGAAGACTTATTTTCCTCAGAACTGAAGAAAACTGCAGGGCCTGGAAATTGACCTACCACCAACCTCAAAGTTGTACTCTGTCATTTTTAACATCACACTAAAACGCACTCCTAAAAGCGAAAATGTCCTCCTAGCTCACTCTTGATGTTTTCAAACTGTACGATGTCAAGTTTCAAAACATTAGCAGGGAGGTGGGCCAACATATGGACATCGTGGGCACTAGTGAGCACTATAACAAAATCACTAATCTTTAAAGTGCAGGCTGTTTAAATGATCCTTCTTACATTCTGACGCGGCAAGATAACTGTCGCTGTTACGAAATACAGATTTGGGTTTTGTAGCACTTGATTCTCCTTGAAATTTGAAGACATTGCTGCAGGTGGTGGATGCAATAAAAGTGCACAGCAGTAGCTTTAACTAAAGCAAACCCTTACAAAGAGATAAAAGTCTTGCTCAACTTATAATATCTGATTAAAAAATATAAGCAGAAAAAAACAAAAAGCACAATGTGTGGAGTGGTGTGCAGCTTAAATGTCTAATTCACCTTAAATATTTACTGTAGGTTTTTAAGATACTAAAGGGCGACTTTAAAAGGCCCCCTGGTGTCAGTATATATATTGAATTACTATGCATTCTAAAAGATAGTAAGATATATGAGACTAAGACTATGATACCAAGAATAAACAGCACTATTGAAAGTTGAAAAAATGGAAACTTGAATTTATGTGTCAATTTCTAAAATGTTTAAGAACATTTTTGCTTTTCTTCTTATTGGTAAACATTATTCTTCTGTACTTAAATATAGCATAATGAAAATTTGCAGGTAATCTGAACAGATATCAAAGTCAAATGTCTAAATAAAGACAAAGCTAAAGGCCTCTCCATAACCAAAAATTCACTCCCTCGTTTTAGCCAGTGACGGAGTCTGATATTTTAATAACTGAAAAAGCTTTCCAAAGAGAGGATTACATTTCCATGTTCCCCTTTTGACAGAGAAATATCATTGTATCCTTTTCATATTGACTAAGCTCTGGGAGTTTTCCATCTCCTCCTGTCCTGAAATGCATTGATCCTTTCACACGTCCAGCCAGACGCTAGTTATCTGCTTTCACTTGATCTGCTTATTTGGCCCAGGTTGATCTCAGATCAGCTTGTCTCATACACTGAATCCAGCGCTTTCCCATTTGCTATCAAAATAAATAGGTTAAGGTCCATTTGCAACGTCATAAAGCAGATAAACAGGTTCAAAGCAAGGATCTTTCTTTCAGGATGTGACAGAATCGTCCACAGAAATGCAGACCGTCATAGCGTTTCCTCCATGAAAGGTAACGAAAGATACAGTACAGCAGGAAGCTATCTTTCTCTGTAGCGCACATAATCTAAAGTAAATATGAACAATATTAATTTACAGTCAAATGCACAGAGAAAATATCTGCCATTGTGCACTGTCTCGATTTGCATGCTAGGAATGAGACAACACAGAGAGAAAAAAAAAGTATTTTAGTTGAATGAAATTTAATTCCCATAACAGCCAGATGTGATATGGTCATCATCACTGCAAATAATTATGATAATTAGATTGAAAGTAGAGAGAAGCCACAGACCGGCACGCAAACACACACTCAACTTGACATGTGTTCTGCAAAACTACTGTACTGCGATACTCATAACTTTGGCATTTCTCTTCTGCATTTTGTATTACGTATCATCATGATATGATATATCTGCAATAAGCTAACCTGCCTGACTTGTTGGTCTAGCTCTAGTCTCAACCTCTTATGCAGCAGAGAAAATGAATGAGTGATACTTTCTCTCTTATCAGCTACCACTGATGTGTCCATGAGCAACGCAGTGATCCACCAGCTGCTCAGTGTCCTACCATCTCACTTTGACAGCAGGTGTACTGGACAGTTAAAACATTTAAAATTATGACTCAGTTTTCAAACATTTCTCAGGTAACGTAACACAATGTTAATGTCTTACCACCAAAGTAAAGTAACCTATCCTACTATCCTATTCAACTTTATTGAAGATATAAACCAAAACACTCAATTTTGAGTCAAGAAGGCTCATTTTCTTTCAATAAACTGATACATTTGCCTGCCAGTAAAATGAAAAGCTTTAGTGAAAGTCAGTACAATATAAGTAAAAAACAGGCACTGCAACAGATAATCCTCTGCACTATCTCTCTTTGCAAGTAGAATAGCTTTACACTAAACTATAAGCTTCAATAACATTCACTTCCAAATCATATCACAACATCCTGTAAATCCTGTGTGATGGAGAAGTGGCAGAAAATTGCAAACTCTAAGGTTTAGCACTGCCCTGACCAAATGTTGATGTGAGGTTCCTTGTGACCCTCAGGAATAAAACAGGGTAGTTAACAGGGTAGGAACTGTCCTGCGTCTTGTTAATTAAACTACACTCGTAACTGCAGTATGTTTTGTAGATGAACATAGATACTAGTTCTTAAATTGGATAAATCAATCTTTTCTTTTATCATAACCTGCTGGAGTAAAACCTTACTTTGCCTTCAAGAATAGAAGAGGTGTAGGTTATAAATTGATCTGCACTGACTCCTTCCCTCTTTACATTCTTTTAATTTTCTTTCATAAAAGTGCATTTATGAATTGTTTAAACTATAGATGACTTAAGCAAAATTTTAATGTCTCTAAAACACGATTAAGTGTTGCTGGTACTGTTACCAAAGCTTCCTAGTGTTCAGCTTTTAATCACAAGGTCCTATATTTCTAGTTAAACTTTCTCCATAACTTTATTCAAGAGTGTGGTCTTTCAATTAGAGAGCATTAATTGTTGATTTTGCATTCAAATTTTGTAATGCTTTCCCTCAAAACCCTGCACTAAACCAGCCCCTGCTTACGCTTACATTTGCTCTGCTTCTGCTGAAACTGTGTGCTTGCAACCAGATGTAATGTTGCTGTCAAAATCCCTCAACCAGGTGAAGTGTTGACTAATGAAATGACTGCTGCCTCAACGCATTCGCTTTATTTCAGCATGGCGCATGGCGGTTTCTCTTTAACCGGATTGATCTTCTCCCACATCCCCACGTCTATATTTTTGTTTTTTTAAGATAATTTTTGGGGCTTTTGCCTTTATTTGAGGCAGCAAAGGGCCACGGGCTGGACTCAAACCTGGGCTGCTGCAGAAAGAACTCAACTGTACTCAGTACACACACTCTACCAGCTGAGCTGATGGGAACCCCTTCCTTTGCTTTACTGTGTAATAATTGATATAGATATTATATATACTGTATGATATTAGCCGTAGCAAAATGAGGACAAAAGGACAAAATGATGTGACTCAGTCACTCAAGTACCCCCAGTAAGTTGCTATTACTTCCTTCATTATGAATTGAAAAGACATATTTGCTGCATATTCAGAATATGTAGCTATTATAGTGCAAAGGAGGTATATAATAAAGGAATTATATAACAAAGCTGTGGAAGATGGGAGTGAATGAATCCAGTGAGGTGCGCCCGTATGGGAAACTATAAGAAGTAAAGCGAAGGCAGGGATCCTTTTATTGGTAAACACTACACCTAGCATTCTACAGGCTGGGGTTTGCAGGTTTTGACTGATTGTTTTGACAGATTTTTTGCACAGAAAATCTGAGTGTAGAGCAAACAGGTGAGCTCACTAAGCACCTCACTTAAAAACACAGTTTAAAAACTGTTAAGAAATGCAAGTGAAAATTGTATTTTACGACTGTAGCTCAACAATTTCCTCTAAGGTTAGGTTTCTGAATGGGTTTGGAAAAGACCTTTGTCCCACGTGATGTCATGTGACTTTACAACACTTCAACTCCTTTCAGCTTTGTGAGACTTGTGGTATGAAAGGGTCTTTCTCTCTCTGGCAAAAATCCAGCTCAAAAACTTATTTTGTCTTACTTACATTTCTGACTTTGATGACTTGAATTGCTTTGTGGACAAAAAAGAGATCAAAATTTTATTCTTCTATCAAATACAAGCTGCCTTACTGAAAACGCTCTTGAGTGTTTAGTATAAGCTTATTAAACTATAAATATCACCTCTGTGCTCCCAGTATGCTCACTATTAACTGGACGGTCCCAGGTGCTTTGCTCTGTCTATATACTTCTCACCTGACTCTACTTTGACATTCAGTCACATCCTGTTGTCAGTTTTTATTCTTCATCATAAATGTTCTCACTGAAGTTATTTATGAAGAGTACCCAAATCTCATTCAAAGTTATCAAAATACAGTTTTATCTGTCATAGTTTTTTCCAAATTCTCTTTTATTAATATTTGAAATGACTATGGTTCTTGTTAAGTTCCTGCATTATAACAGATTGTGCCTGTAAAAAAAAGTGTGATCACCTCGTTGTCATTATGGTCATTATGTAATATGTACTAAAACGTTTGCCAACTGTTATAAAGGATATTTATGCAAACAAACAATTACATAAAGGTTTATGTAGTAAAAATAGCATCTTGAATATTGTTATGCTTTTCTGTTTCTTGTTCTGTAATATTGGGGTTTTGTATTTCTCTTGATTTATGGGTTGGATCCTTTAGAAAGTAATTTCAGGATAGTAGGATAACACAACAAGCATTTCTTTGTTCACTGGTGATGATTGATTATAAAATCTCAAATTAGTGGTTTAATTTACTACTTTTTTTAAGTTGCAATGGTCTGTAAACTGTATAAATGTTAATTTCTGATCTGTCAAGAGTTTTTGTATTTTCTTTCTTGCATCTTTCCATTCTTGATTTAGATTTATTAATTTACTTATCTACTGTAAAACAAGAACAAGGACAAAGACAAATCTGATTACTTGTAACATGAACAAAGTGCCACCAGAGAAGTCAGACTTCAGTGGGCCATGTTACGTGTCTGTGCTCTTTCAGAGTTATACTGTGATCCTACAGTAGACTGAACTGATGACCTACTTCTGCAAAAAACCTTTCAATGTAATTGCATCAGATAGATTAACTACATAGGTTAGGTAAGGTATAGATCTACAAAATGAGGCAGTGGTGAAATTCCATAACTACAATGATGAATTGATGAAAATGTATTCTTGTGAGCTCTGCTTTTTCATATCTATGCTCATGCTTATTTGACTTCCACTCCAAACACATCTTAAACACATCAGTTACGTTAGACAAGATGAAGGTTTCAGATGTCACCAAAAGTGAGGAACTGATCTCAAATGTGTGACCGCTGCCTGTGTCACAAGTTAAAGGAGCCATGGAAAACTATATGTTTTGCACTAGAAATGCATGTCATCCCTGTTTGGTATGTAGAGATTTTGCCACAGTGAGAGATCATGAAAGTGAATACTTTAGTAAGTGTAAGCCTTTAATGCTCACTGCTGCATTTTCAAAAAAATAAAACATTCAGTGAATATTTTGCATAATGCACTTTCTGCTATATGAGTCCTTAAACATGTTTTATTAGCACATGCCATGTTTGTATTGTTTTAAATGACAGATTAACTTTTAAACCAGAATAATCATTTGTTGCCTTTTTTACTGCATGGAGAAGTTCTCAATTAAAGTGAAAACTGAGAGAAAGTTAAAGACAGTTAAGATATAATGTAGTGCAATTACTCTTTGAGAAGTAATTAACCTTTCTTGTCTGTGTGGCCATCACATAGTTAACCCATGGTCAATCTTCCAGAAATCATTACAGGGCAATACTTACATATGAAACTCTGAGATTCACAGCATCATTTCCAGAGTTGAGTTCTGCAGGTTTCAGAAGAAGGAACAGCCAAACTCTCCGTGCAAAATCCATGTCTTCTTTTCAAGGCTTATTCTTCATGATGGACCAATACTCTAATCCAGCAGGACAGAAAAGTCCGTCTTATCACTCAGAATCCAAGGTGGAGCGGTCAAAACTGACTTTTTGACAAACACCAGTCGTCTTATCACCTTATGTTGGACATTTTGAAACCGGCCACAGGTGCAACGTGCAGGTTGTCCTCTTTCCTTCCGTCGGATTCCTTCCGCATAGCACTGTCGATTCGCCCTTGAGCAAGAGCGTGAGGGAGGGAGGATGCTGCTGGACCACAGAGGATTACCGCTCCTATAGCCGCCCCATGTCACACTCAAATATTAACACTAATTATAGTAAGAGAGCTGGCGCTTTTCCCACATCAGCAAGTCGCAATAAACATAAGCTTCAGTACAAAGGACACAGTGAAGGGGAAACATGGACTTGGTTTGTCCATCCTTCTTTTCAGTTATAGGCTGATATAAAATATCTGGATTTTAAGCTGAACCGGGCTGAAAATAGGCTGCTTTAATTTACCCAGTTTTTATGTTGTAAGCATTTCACATAGCATAACCGTAAGTTGTGGGTTGCGGGTATGAACGACAATTATACAGTTGTTTTATTAAAGTGTGTGAACTTGTTTGGAGTATAATGTCGCATTTACACCACATTTTACTTAATATTGCAGTAAAGACACATGCGACCGTGTGGCATAGCCTAACGTTAAAGCATGCTGATTCTACTGTGTCAGCTACAGAGAAGAATTAATCAATGAAGTCCATTTGGAATCTAAACCTGTTGCGCTTGAATGAACCCTAAGGACGTGGTTTAACACAAGCTGTCAGCAATTTTAGTGTGTGTTTGGATTGAGGGTTTTGGATTACCATGGGGTGAAGCCCACGCCAACAGTGTTAGCTTTTTATTGCGCCCTCTTGTGGCCAATGAGAGACTGCGGCCATGCCCAGTGTAGGTTGTAAGTTCGGGGTTTTAGCAGCCTTGGGATTTACAGTATAATTAAAAATGTACACAATTTAGGCTGATTCTAAAAATTTTAAACCCAGAATGAAACTCTATTTCTTCAACAACATAAGCTATATTTATCTCATTCCTGGCAGTATAAAGAGGCTTAGACTTTCATGTTGAAACATATAATATTAATACTTGATTTTGACACATGACCTCAGTATTTATAAAACCCTGGATACAGCCCCGGTTACAATATGATGTAATATTTCTGTTTTGGCACAGAACACTACAATGAGGCACAAGATATTGTCACAGTTGAACCCTGGGTCAACAGGCGTAGCCTATTGCACATCCATGTTGTGTATTTATTAAGTTATAAAAGGAGACCATATGAGAAAAGATGTTCTAATATATTCAGAATCATTCTTTAAATGATTAAAGACCTGCCTGTCTGTGTCTGACTCAGCTTTTCAGGGGCACATTTAACACAGCATTTTGTCCATGTAGTCTACTGGGAGCAGGGCTGATTGAAAAGTCTGACAGCAGCAGAAAGGAAAGGAAAATCATTTAATTATCTGTTAAGTTCTATGTGTGTAGAATGAAGGGCACAAAAACTTTTACTTTGTTGTGTAATGATAAATAAATTACCTTAATGTCCTCTTAATAATAATCCTCTGGGAAAAAGTCATTCCTACAGGGAAACTAAAAGACAGCGTTAAACCACATTACCCATAAAGCTCAGGGGCTCATGTTTTCTTTTTATTTCCCGGATATAGCGTCACAAGAATTGACTGTCAACATGCAAGATGGCCACGCATCACAGGCAAAATGCTGCTGGGCGGAGAAAAGTACAGGTAGTTGAATTAATGTTAAGTGTCTGACAACAGCAATGTTAGTGTCATCGGCTTAAAAATGTGCTTCACTGATTCTTGACTGGCAGCAAAATCCGCCGGCAAAAGGCAGCGTTGCTGTTACAAGTGAAACTCAAGCCGGCTAACCTAGCTAGCTTATCTTACGTTAGCTAGATGTTAGCTTCTTCTGCCAACGCTGGCGTCTAAATAATTATATATTTTTGTAAAATATTGTCATATAAGTACGTGTTGAATATTGTATAACATAACTACCAAAGTCGTCAATTAGCACAAATGATTCATGTGCTGTCTTAGCAGTATTTTTATGCTTTTGCAGCGTTAACGGTAGCTAACGTTAGACAGGATCTGGGCTCGGTCTAATTGCTGGAAAAAACGATCGTGTCTAGGTGGTTCTGTCGTGCAATCTGCAACTAGTCAATGCGACTAAATCAAGTTACGTTATAAGTACCGAATTCGTCCATTGTTAATGGGAATATATCGGGAATTCCCTCCGTATATGTGTCATTTAGCTAAGCTACACGTTTCTGGCCTTACACCGCAGGTGCATTGAACTTCAACAATTAGCGTGTTGAGGCTTCGAGGTATGCACAAGGAAGTGAGTATCTCGGAGTCTCAGTGTTCACTCTCCTCTTTTGTGTTTCAGGTGTCCTATGTCATTAGAGATGAGGTGGAGAAGTACAATCGAAACGGGGTGAATGCACTCCAACTAGACCCTGCGCTGAACCGGCTCTTCACTGCTGGAAGGGACTCTATCATCCGGATATGGAGTGTCTATCAGCACAAAGTAGAGCTTCTTAGAATCTTAATCTATATTAAAATATTACACCCTGCAGCTGTTCTGTCACATGCATCCATTCTTCTTATTCTCAACAGTGCATTTTTCTTAATTTCTGTTCTGTCATTGTAGCAGGACCCATACATTGCCTCGATGGAGCATCATACAGACTGGGTTAATGACATAGTTCTCTGTTGCAATGGAAAAACATGTGAGTTTGACCTCTATTTAATTTAGGGGTTACACATTGTTTATCTTCTAAAGCTGCTGTTTTATTCTAGTGTTCTGGCTGACGGATCGGTCTGATACCCTTTCTTCCTTTTTCAGTGATATCTGCCTCATCAGACACAACAGTCAAAGTATGGAACGCTCATAAGGGATTCTGTATGTCAACGTTACGAACACACAAGGACTACGTGAAAGCTCTGGCCTACGCTAAGGACAAGGAGCTTGTGGCGTCAGCAGGTCTGGACCGGCAGATCTTTCTGTGGGATGTGAATACACTAACAGCACTTACTGCTTCCAACAACACTGTCACCAGTAAGTATTGTTTGTTTCTGTGTGCCCATTTCTGTCCCATAAGTACTGTTTGATTGTTGTCTGAGAGAGATTCTGTGCCTCTGGGCTCACTATAGTTTGTCTCCAACAGCCTCGTCACTCAGTGGGAACAAGGACTCTATCTACAGTCTGGCTATGAACCAGATGGGCACGGTCATTGTATCTGGGTCCACAGAAAAGGTTTTGGTTTCCATCAGTGTCACACATACGCACATTAAGACAACAATAACTTCACCAGTCATGTTAACATCTTATCTTGGCTATGTAGTACATTTTTAGCATGAAGCTAGCTTGAGAATGTACTCCAATGACAGATACACAGTAAATTACGTTAAAATCTCTTTAATTATTGCGGCACGTTTTTGTCCTAATTTGATTTCTGCATGGTGTTTGGATTCTATATGTGCACCAGAAAGATCAGTTTGTATTTCTATACATGATTGGTGCAAGTGTTATAGCTTGTTGGGGGAAATGTTTTGGATGTTTTACGCTTTTGATGTGTAGAAAATGACATGCACAACTTTCTCCATTTTTGCATCCTTTCCGTTGAAACATTCATAAGATGTTTTCCCAGTAGGCTACCACACATCTGTGTGGACATTACTTTACAATTGTTACTTTACTTAGTCACAGTGGTCTGGTCTAGTATTCATGTAAATGTAATGTGTCCCCCTTTTTTCTCTTGTCTTCAGGTTCTCAGAGTGTGGGATCCTCGAACATGTGCAAAACTGATGAAGCTTAAAGGTCACACAGACAACGTCAAGTCGTTGCTGCTGAATCGAGATGGGACTCAGGTGATTTAGGGTTTCTAAAATATACAGCCATGGCAGCTGTCAAACAGAATTTAAAAACCTAAACCTCCTGTCCTTCTCCACAGTGCCTGTCGGGCAGTTCAGACGGGACCATTCGCTTGTGGTCACTTGGCCAGCAGAGGTGTATCGCCACCTACCGGGTACATGATGAAGGGGTTTGGGCCCTGCAGGTCAATGAGGCCTTTACACATGTCTATTCCGGAGGCAGAGACAAAAAGATCTACTGCACTGACCTCCGTAACCCAGACATCCGTGTGCTCATATGTGAGGAGAAGGCTCCAGTGCTCAAAGTAAGCCCTACGAAAATAATCTTTGTGGGATTTTTCATTTTTTCATTTGAAAAGTTTATATTTGAGTTATAATTGAGCAGTATGGGTCTTACCTGTATGCTGACCATTGCTTTCAAGTGGTGTCTGCTTACAGTGTAGATGGATGTGGCAGTTTGTATTTAACTATCTCTCATTTTACCTGAGATTGTTTTTTCTTTTGCTTGCATATTATACATATTCCCTTTGCTTACAAAATCTCAGAAGCATGTCACTGTACAGACATTGTCACCTGCATGATTTGGATTGGATTTCTTTTAAGGCTTTTCTTTTTTGTTCTTCAATAGCAGTGATAGTGTTTATTTTAAGAGAGGTTGTACTATATTGTATTTATTAAAAATACATAGAAGTTTAAAAAACAGATGTTGTCAGCCCATATTCTCCCCAGTCATTCCTCTACTCATAGCTAACCATTGGGAGTCACTCAGCCTTTTGCCGTCTCTTTTGCTCAGATGGAACTGGACAGATCTGCTGACCCACCTCCAGCAATCTGGGTCTCCACCACCAAGTCATCTGTAAATAAATGGGTAAGCATGTGTGACACCTGTCAACACAATGACTCTGGAAGTGTGGAGAGATACTTGTGCATGTGGCCACGCCTAATGCGATTCAGTAATCCTCCTGTCATTTTTGTAGAAATTTTAAACCAGCTTTGTGATGGGTGGAGGAGGGGGGGTACACAAAAGATAATTGCATTACATTAATTACAGCTATTGCTGCAAAGAAGCAATGATTAAAATCCAGGATAATCTCTTAATGATTATTTTTCTGTGTATGTGTCTGCAGTCTTTAAAGGGAATGCATAACTTCAGGTCATCAGGGGAGTATGACAATGACTGCACTACCCCTCTGACACCACTGTGCACTCAGCCAGAACAAGTCATCAAGGGTAAACTTGTGTTTTCTTGATCTGAAACTACAGTGTTCCCCATATCCTTCTCCCTGACATTTTAGTAAGTCAAATTCTGTGTTGTTTGCAGGAGGTGCCAGTATCATACAGTGCCACATTCTGAATGACAAGAGACACATACTCACCAAAGATACCAACAACAATGTGGCTTTCTGGGATGTCCTGAAGGTAAACACCACTCGGTAGTTATGATATTTGTGCCCGTGTTAGAGGTGAGACTGCATCTGTTTTTCTTTTGTCCTAACTTTAATGATTCCGGTAGTTAAAATTATATTTTAGCAAATGACACCACAGCCAAGTTAAAGGAGGACTGTCTCAGTTATTTGGTGCTCACCAGCCCTAATGAGCTACTGCCCTTGAGATTAATCACAGCTGAGTCTGGTGAGAAGTCACTCCTGGTGGTACCTGTAGGTTGAATTGACTTTTATGTACGTTTTACCTTCAGGCTTGCAAGGGTGAAGACTTGGGGAAAGTGGAGTTTGATGAAGAGATTAAAAAGCGCTTTAAGATGGTCTATGTGCCAAATTGGTTCTCTGTTGATCTGAAAACTGGGGTGAGTCACAAACCTGCTTCTACGCAAGCTTGTCATCTACTTCAGCAGCTGACTTTTTCCAACTCTGTTAGTAGTCTCATAGTTGTGCGGCTTTTTTTATTTTTTTTAAAATAGATGCTCACTATCACATTGGATGAGAGCGACTGCTTTGCTGCCTGGGTGTCTGCAAAGGACGCTGGATTTTCAAGCTCTGATGGATCCGACCCAAAGTGTAAGATATCTGACCGTATCACATTTTATATACAAATAACTGTAAACCTCTTAGTGTTCCTCTGCCCCACACGCTGTCAGGACCTGGTGGCAAGTTTCAGTATTGCACAAAACTGCTAAGTTCATAGTGATATGATACACCGTTGGAAAGCTAAAATTCTTGTGATTCGACCAGTGCAAACTGTTTCAAGATACAATCACAGCAGCACCTATGAAGCCTCATAATTATCCACCGATCGATTATATTCCAACGAAAATGGTCTTCTGGGTACATCCAGACGATCCAATCCAGTAAAAACATTTATTCCAGATAATTCTATCAATAAATACCCAGGGACTGCTGCTACATCATTTCATATTAGCTAGCAGACGTGCCTAATATTTCATTATAGCCCCAAACCATGCATTTACTGAACTGTATTCAGTTTACTTTGGGAATGCCTTGAATTGGCGTTATAGGCAAATTTTTAAAGGAATGGTAAAAGGTTAAATAGAACTTTATATTGCACCACTGCTATTTTTATTTTTCACCTCTGCAGTGAACCTGGGTGGACTGCTACTCCAGGCTCTGCTGGAGTTCTGGCCCAGAACTCGCACCAACCCCATGGATGAGGAAGAGAACGAGGTGAACCACGGTAAGGAGCTGGTGGACTTTGCATCTACTGCCAAATCAGTACGAAACGTAAACAACTAGGGCTGCAGCCCCCCACCCCCGTAATGGGGGTCAGCTCTGTACTTTAATAAATATCTATCATCTATCAGTCCTTTCATAAATTCATAGTCATACAGCAAACATCAGATCAACAGACCAACCAGACAACTGCTGTACCAACACAAACATCACCCAAGTGCTATACAAGTTATTCTGAGGTGTAGCTCCCCGACACCCAGTTAACTCATGACTGTTACGGCCCAACCAGGAGAACAACAAATGCACGGGTGTACGGCTTACTTTTGCTAGCTTTCAACTCAACAATCAGTCATGATTTCAGTTAAATGCTAAAGTTACTGTTACCTTGTCTGTGGTCCGCTGACAGAACACTGGGTGCTTTCTGATCAGATGCCGTTGTGCTGTTGCGGTGAGCAACACAAGTTTCGTTTTACGGTGGACGGACTGTGACATTACAGAGTTGTTTTCTTTTAGCTTGAAATAATCCCATACTTCTTCGTCCCTCGCTATTTTATCTGTCTTCTTCCACTTTGCAAACCGCGCCATTATAATCACGTCATGTTCACACAGCGTAAGCGCGATGTGCGACAGTAATAAATGTCCGTGCGAAACTGTGTGCTACGTAGTTAAATGGATTAAACGAAGCATCATTTTAGCATTTTAGTAATCGATTTAATGGATTAATTGTTTCAGCTCTATAATCAACCCAAACCTCAGTAGTGATGCTCTGCGAACGTCAGTGAGCCGTGTGTGTTCATTAATCCACTTGGACGCTGGCTGCACACTTGACATCGTTTCCTGCTGTTAGTGAGCGGCGGGTGTCATTCAGTTGGTCTTACAGGAGCATTACGTTCTTGTGCCCACAGTGAACGGAGAGCAGGAGAACAGGGGCCAGAAAGGAAATGGATATTTCCAAGTGCCACCACACACGCCGGTCATCTTTGGGGAGGCGGGAGGCAGAACTCTCTTTAGGTAATCTTTCGCTACCACACATCAACGCCGGTTAAATCTAAATTCAGAAAGCTGCAGTGGGCTTTGTAAAGTCATTTTGTGTCATCAGTTTATATTTGTCATTTGTATTTGCATTGCTTTTGATGTCCTGTGTTGTGTGTTGCAGGTTGCTATGTAGAGATTCAGGTGGAGAGACTGAGTCCATGCTGTTGAATGAGACAGTTCCACAGTGGGTTATTGATATAACTGTAGATGTGAGTACAATGTTTTCACATTATATCAAACAGAGTCATAATGATTAAATAGACCATAAATTAAAAGGCTCATTTGAGTGTTTGTGTCTGCGTGGATGTGTGTGTGTGTGCGCTGCATGTAAATCAGTATGTGTGTATCCAAAAGCTCTTTCATTCAGAGAAGCCAACAAACATTTGTCATTCTCTTAAAGATGTTTTTAACTATTGAGGAAGTTGGATTTATTTATTTTTTCCAGTGTGGGAAGGCAATACATGTAGTTTCTGAAGAAGCATATAGGCCCCTGTACTGGCAGACATTTTGACTTATCATTAGAAAGAAAAGCGCAGGTGTTACTAATAACTAATTGGCGAGGGTTCTGCTCTATTCAAGTGTCCTAGTAAGCCATGGCAGTGAGCCAGCATGTATAATACCAAGACCCTGAAACTGGAGCTGCTAAATGGAATTCAGACATCATTCATTGTATTCACACCTGTGCTTGTCCAGAACATGAAAAGATATCTCTGCATTCAAGTGGTGTAGTAATAATCAGAAAAATGAGTTCCCTATTGGGGAAATTCGCTTGAATAACCCCTCAAGTCAGATTAACAACTCAAACTTTGGTACACAGCTTGCTGAGTTGACGTCATATTAAGCAGAAACATGGCGGGTGAAAGTAAATGCTTTTTATTAATACAAAGTGCATTTAAATTATTTGCTCGCATGTCATTTGTAATAGCCTATGGTATTTGGTTGTCAGTGGCTGTCCATGTGGAGTGAACTTGATTAGTTATTTATCAGCATTAAACCTGATTACAAGTCAGGTAATGCAGTACAAACTGTCAGCGTGCTTGGATAGCAGCATCACATACGTAACCCGTCACCTGGACGCCTTACAAAAACATCAATGTTGTTTCCACAACTTAACGCTCATGAACACACCGAAGTCGGAAGAACGACCTCGGGAAATCCGAGATGCATGTGAATGCAGCGCTTGTCGCTGTGTTTTTACCAGAAGGAAATGTTTCAGCATGTGCAGTTTACAGTTTGCTCCTGCCATTATTATTATTTTTTTATTTGAGTTAAATGTATTATCCTGTCTCTTATATTCCAGAAAAATATGCCCAAGTTCAACAAAATCCCGTTCTACCTCCAGCCCCATTCTTCCTCTGGTGCAAAAACTCTAAAGAAGTAAGTCTCCTGTCTACTCTAAATTGTATTTTCCTTTTAGGTACGTAATGCAGTGAACAGAAAACCAGTACATCTAGACCTGGATGCTGCAGATCTGCAGCCCACCTGCCTATTGAGAGCTGATTTTAACTTGCTGTGTGTTCTGCAGGGACCGTCTTTCGGCCAGTGACATGCTCCAGGTGAGGAAGGTGATGGAGCACGTTTATGAGAAAATCATCAACCTGGACAACGAGTCGCAGACCACCAGCTCCTCAGCCAACGATAAGCCCGGGGAGCAGGAGAAGGAGGAGGACATGGCCATGCTAGCCGAGGAGAAGATTGAACTAATGTGTCAAGACCAGGTGGGCACGCTGCCTTTTCTTGTACATTTTGACGTGAGTAAATCTTGTGCGTCCTCAGTCATTGTATTCACTTTTTACATTTTTATCTTTCTACCAGGTTCTAGATCCCAACATGGACCTGCGAACAGTTAAACATTTTATCTGGAAGAGCGGAGGGGACTTGACACTTCACTATAGGCAGAAGTCCACGTGAAAGCTGTAGTTTTTAAAACAAGAACTCTTTGTCATTTGCCAATCACCACCCACCTCTGACATGTAGTACCCTAAACCCCATTCTGTGGTCAAGAGTCGCAGTATTAATGAGAATCCGGTAAAATTTGTGAGGACGTGGTTCGTGGTGTATCTTAGGGAACTGAACAGAACAGGCCTGAGCAGCCAAGAGACACCTGGGACATAAGAGGTCTGTGTTTTTTGTTTTTTTTGTTTGTTTTACAGTTTGAAGAATGGACTCCAGCGATCACCGGTTCCTTCATTTATTTAATTTTTTCTTACATCTTTACTTTGACTGCTATGTTTGTTCTTTCCTTCCGATTAGCTTTTCTCATTTTGAAGCGACAAAAGCTAGGGTTGGTGTTTGTGAGTGAGCGTGTGCGTAAACGCACATGGATGTAGTAGACCTTTTGTTTGTTCTAGTACATTCCAGAAACTGTCCTTGTTCAACAAACACTCCCGTCTCTGGGTAGTGTCACAGTCCCTCAAAGCAATCCTTCGCTGTTCTGTTGTCATCTCAACTTTAACGTAACCCTGGTTTAGACATGTAATTATTGAGCTTGAACCTCATCGACAGAAGAAGTTGTCATCGTCATTTCTTTTTAGTTGTGCTGATCTCAATGGACTGAATGTCCTTTTTATTTTTGTAAATATATGTACAACATTTCTGGTTTAAGTGACTTTTTTTTTTTTTTTTTGTTCTTTTGGTTTTGCAGCAGTTTTATTGTGTTGTTGTACAGTTTACTTAAAACCAACAGTTCTTTTTCAAAATCCCTAGAGCACATTACAAGGTAATTTGACTTGGATGTTAAAAGTTGCATTATTTGTATTCACTACAACCCAGAAATTGCAGTTTACTCAAAGAATGTTAGTTGTGGTCCAAGTCATCTTAGTACCCAAGAAATTATATATAAGGTATGTATCTTTAACAGTAACTGTTGCTTACTCACTCTGCTTGGGTCATGAGCAGTGACTTTAACGGAAGTGAGGGCTGTTCTAATGTATATTTCATTTAGGTTCAATAGAAGAACAAAGAAACTTGAAGGGGAATCTCATCTAAGAGAATATGAATATTCAACCACTGTGGGAAGTGAAATAAATGGTAATACCCACTTCTCTCATGGTTTTGGTGACACCGAGAGAAGTGGGTATTACCACTTATTGTCCCATGACAACAGATCTCGTCATTGTAAATTCTCTGCATTTAATTTTGCCTGTGTGTGAGATGCCATTGTAGGGACGCATCGAGTGAGCTCTAATGGGCCAAAAACATGATGGGTACCATAATTAGACCATAACACTGCAATATCCCTTGTTGTAATAATTTGTGAAATATGTATATTTTAGGCATTCGAAGAAATAAATTGGAATGGTTTAACAATGAGATTTATGGGATTATAAATGGATGTTTCTTGAGTTGTAATGTGTTCAGCTGATGAGTGTGAAATAAGAAAAACAAGGGACAATTTTTTTTTTTTTTTTTTTTAAAGTCAAGTGATATGATTGTTTAACCATCAAAGATTCACCCATTTCGCATTCATCAAAAGACTCTGCACTCATTCCTAATAAAAGATACAATTAATTGATAAAATATCTGCAAAAATACTTTTCCTTATTTTACACACTAGCACCTGCATTGACTGTGAAAAACATTAAGAAGCCCCCAAGAAAAACAAAACTACTCAACACTTACCATACTTCTTACATACTGTATATGAAATGTGTCACCTATTTAAATGTACTCATTATCTGTCAAGTCATAGGCAGTACTTGTCTACTGTTGCATAGATCACATAATTTACAAAGGAAGGACAGTGTTAAATGAAATATGGGGACATAATTGTAGCGATACAAGCAGTAAAAATACATCAGACTGCATGGCTGTATAAATCAAATCAAAGACTGTGTCTAAAACGTATTGACCATTAAATCTAGTGTAAAAACATGTACTGACCGGTTTCACACAGTACAATACCCCAAAAAAATTCACTTTAAAATCCAATACATGATCTACTATAAGTAGTAAAGTTCCCCTTACAATCTTAGAAGCTATCTTTAAAAGCTGAATTATGGGAATCATTATTTTAAACACATCGACAACAGATGTAACACTGCACCACAATAAACCAAATGTAACAACTCATCTGAACCGGCAACAGTCCGGTAGCTTCAAAAACTTTTGATAGTGTCATGGAAGGTGCAGCTGTGTGTAAATGTATGCGTTTAAGTATTCAACACATTAGTGTAGCAGAGGCAAGGTCTCGTCACCATCATCTAATTTTGCACCAAGAAAGGAAACATGATCATACTACAAACTTCCTGGTGTGCAAATGAGCAGTAACTTTATATTCTCACATATAAAACAAATAGGATGTTCCTACAGTGCCTCTCTAAGTGTCTTTCTACTTATACACTAATGCTCTAGCTGGTTTCTGTAGTGTAAGACTCAATAACAAATATCTATATCATATCAGACAGCTTTTCCCTCGGTCTGTCCAGTGTTGCCTGTGTAGTTTCTTTAAAAAGCCCCATTGATTGTCAACTTCACTTCCCATTTTTGTACTTTATGTATGGCTTAATGCAAGCTTACTCAAGAGGCGGCTCATCTGTTTTCTCCTCATCACTCTCATGGCTGCAGTGTTGGCTCCTGCTCACATCTAGAGGCTCGGCAGACTCCTCCACTGGCCGTGCTGCATCCTCTGAGGCCTGAACGGGAGAATCGTCTGCCATCGACTCATTAACAGCAGAGGATTGGAGGAGATCAACAGGCGATGAGCAGGGAGGGTCTTCAGCAGGAGGTTGTAGGAACTCAGGGAGAGACAATGCACCCATAGGTGGGCTTGGGCTGTCGCTAGATGCACACAGAGAGCCAGCTAGGTCTGTGTCCAGGTGAGACGGTTCAACTGGTGGGATGCTTGAATCTGACAAAGTGTCAGCGGAAGCGAGAGCAGAAGTGAGGTCCATGGCTGCCTGGGAGCTCAGCTCTTGTGGGTCAGCCTTTATTTCTGCTGGTGATGAAAGCAGCACGCTGTCCTCCAGCTCCTCTGTACGAAAAGAAACACAACATAGTCTACAATCCTTTTGTCAAGTCAATACATGAAAGCTCTGACATGAACTGCTGCTGTTCTAACTTACCAACACCAGAGATGTCCGCATCCTTCTCCTCGTGCATTGTCAGTGAAGTGTTGGTCATGTCGATGGACGACATGGACAGATCCAATCTGTCCATCAACTCTGCAGGGTCAGGGTTCATCGCTGCCACTTCAGAGTCAGAGAAACCTGGAAAAACAAACAAGACGTCTGCTGATCAGATTTCTACGCAAACAGTGAGACGCCAAAGAAAAACACTCATGCCACATGTCGTCATCCCCTAAAACCACAGCATATCTGAACTGACCAGGGTCCATGACTCTCTGGATGGGTGGAGGTAGAGGAGCTTCCTGGAGGGTGACCTGCACCAGGTCTAACACATCTTCACTTTGGCTTGCAGGTGCCATTAAAGGCGCCTGAAAAACAAACACAATAAGCTCCTCCTAGTTGCTACTACCAGTAGTTTGATCTCATGTAACAGTATATGAAGGCAGCCAACAGTTAGATTAAGGAGAAACAAACAGAACATTTTACAGACTAAACAATGAATCACTTCTTTGAAAAAGTAACCAACAGATTAGCTGATAAAATTAATCATCAGTTGCAGCACAAACGTAGTAAATGTGCATTCAGATTCACCTCAGTGAATCCATGAGCAGGCAGATGCAGAGAGGGTTCCTCCTCAGGTAAAGGGGTGGAAGGCTTCTCCGTTGATACGTCAGGATGTGCTGGGATTCGGTGCAAGTAGCCGTAACCAATGCCACAACCCAAACTAAGAGCAAACATTTTTAAATACTTCAACCCCATTTATAACACCACTATTAAACAATTCATACAGTTTATAGCATAAAATCATGCTGTATAATCTGATATAGAAAAGAAAATAACTGATCTGCGTGCACCTTTCGCTTCATTTAGCTCCAATGATGCTAGACACAGGCATTATTTTTCTAATAACAAAATAGTAGCTCTTTGGGAGAACTGTTATGTTATCTAGAATATATAGTCCTACAACAACTTATTACGGGTGAAATTCAGTGGTTTTCTCCAGTTAGTCACCCTGAATAGCTTATGTATCTGTGTGTTGTCATGTACCTGCCCTCTCCGCCCCATGCCCCATTTGGCGTGACCACCACCTCTCTGCAGGCATCTGTTTGTATGTTATACACCAGGAGCTTCAGGGGTTTCCCTTCATGGGCCTCGATCAGGGTGAAGAAGTCCTCTGACTGGAAATCAGCAATACAGAATGAACTACAACTCATCTTTCAAAGATTTGTTAGGAGATACAGTTTTCAGCAAAATATGTCAGAGCCAAATGTTAGCAATAAAGCATTATACGGAAATGAGTCTTACATCTTGCAACACTTGATCTGCCCCGACGATGTAGTCACTGTGTGGCTGAAGCCCTGCCAGTGCAGCAGGTGAACTGGCTTCTACATCCTACAGGAGGCAAAAAGGAGTTAGCAACTGAACATCGACGCTTTAATGTGGTAATGAGTGCAGACTTTCAAATCAGCGTTCGGTCAATCAGTTTAGTTTTCCTAGCTCTTGATGGAGAAGCTCACCAGAACGTGCCAGACATTCTCAGAGGCACCTTGGTAGCTGCAGAAGCGAACACTGGCCCCTAGCAGGCCCTGTCCTCCCCACATGTTACTGGGCACCACTTCCAGCTCACGAAGCCTTGTGGTTTTAGTGCTATACACCTCCATCTTCACTGCTTTCTCCACGTTGGCTTTCAAAAGCTCCTTCAGCAGGTCATTTTCCTCATTCTGGGGAACAGTAATAGAAAGAGTAAAAAAAAGTCCTGTAGTGCAATGTAATGATTACTGACGTAACTACTTACAACAGGACAATCGATAAACTCACAAGTCTTTTGTGGTCTAGGGAGAGAATGAAGTCAAAGAAGGGCTGCAGTCCAGCCTTTTCTGCAGGGGAACTCGGCTGCACCTGTGAAAACCAACACAAGCATATTTACAGTGCCTTGCGAATGTATTCGGCCCCCTTGAACTTTTCGACCTTTTGCCACATTTCAGGCTTCAAACATAAAGATATAAAACTGCAGACTCTGTCCATAGGACAACAATCAGTCGTATACTGCACAAATCTGGCCTTTATGGAAGAGTGGCAAGAAGAAAGCCATTTCTTAAAGATATCCATAAAAAGTCTTGTTTAAAGTTTGCCACAAGCCACCTGGGAGACACACCAAACATGTGGAAGAAGGTGCTCTGGTCAGATGAAATAAATAAAATAATAATAAAAAAAATTCACAAATAAACATATCCAGGTGTTAGAAGGGCCAAGTCAAAGTCCAGACCTGAATCCAATCGAGAATCTGTGGAAAGAACTGAAAACTGCTGTTCACAAACGCTCTCCATCCAACCTCACTGAGCTCGAGCTGTTTTGCAAGGAGGAATGGGCAAAAATTTCAGTCTCTCAATGTGCAAAACTGATAGACGTACCCCAAGCGACTTACAGCTGTAATCGCAGCAAAAGGTGGCGCTACAAAGTATTAACTTAAGGGGACTGAATAATTTTGCACGCCCAATTTTTCAGTTTTTTATTTGTTAAAGTTTGAAATATCCAATAAATTTTGAGGCCTGCAATGTGGCAAAAGGTCAAAGTTCAAGGGGGCCGAATACTTTCGCAAGGCACTGTATAACTGATGTGGTGCTTCACCTTCAAACACCACCACTACAGTAAATAGCTACAACTAGAGATTTTTTATTATGGATTAACAGCTATTTTATTCTGAACAACCTTTCATAAATATTCAATTTACAATGATATAAAACACAGAAAAGCAGCAAATTTCCTATTTTGATAAGCCTGAACCACTAAATTGGCACTTTGAAGGGTTTGGCCTTTTCGTTTGATCGCTCCCGATCGATTTATCAGTTGATCATTTCAGCAATAACGCAATTGAATGTTGCAAAAATCACTTAAACTTTTGCAACATGAAAAGGCTGAAATAACGTGATCCATTGGAGGCTAGTAAAAATTATTTAATTTGCCCTAAAACCATTATATCAGTCAAAGCATTAGCTGCATGGATTCATCTTGTATTTAACGACTTTGATTAAAAATAATAATGTAACGTATTAATAGCTCGACATGTTTGGAGTCACTTTATTTGAGTTTAGTTACAAGCATGAATCCAAGCGAAGTGTTTAAATAAATAAATCAAACTTCCTGTACATTGTGTCAACTAAGAGTAACAGGTAGACTAAACAGTGCCAGCTCATCAGGTTTTACCTGCTGGTCTATTAGCTATGTTAGCAGTAACATTCATAAGCTGCACTAAACACAACAAGCTCAATCATTTCTTACGCCGTGCACGTGGTACCCATACGTTCCTCCTTCGGATACTTCTGAACTCTGTGATAAACCCATTTCTGCCGGGAACCTTAAATATTAGCTAACACAATTAGAAAATAACAAAAGTACGTGAGAATTATTACGGTTGACAGTCCGCGGCCATCTTGTCTGCAGTCCAAAACAATCGAACATCGCTTGTACCAAACACGCGCACGCTCATACGCGTAGTGCACGCGCTAGAAGCAGAGCCGCTTCACGTCACAGCGTTGATAATCAGCGGTGGACGAAGTACAGAGTAAAAGTACAGACACTGTAAATCTTAATCCACTAAATGTATAAGTCTTCGATTTAAATTTCTAATTGAGTTGAAGTTTAAAAGTACTTACTTTAAAAAAATACTTAAGTATCAAAAGTACTATTATGGTTGCTGACATGACAAACAGAACACGATTAAATTTCGGGTTAATCAACTAATCCTTTCAGCTCTAGGCTACTTGTATAAACTGTTGGGTAGTTTAATAATTTATAACAAATTATTGTATTTTTTAACTCTTAATGTTTTGTGTGTAACTATCTTAATTTGTAAAGTAAAGCTGTCAGATACATTTACTGGAATAAAAAGTACATTTGCCCCTCTGAAATGTGGTGAAGCAGAAGTAGAAAGTGGCATGAAAAGAAAATACTCAAGTAAAGTACAAACACCTTTAATTTGTACTTGAGTACTTAGTTGCTGTTCACCACTGCTGATTTGTAAAGTTGTCCTAATGGGCCTCTGCTCCTAACATGACCTATATGGTTAACTGTTATATTTTAGTATGTAACAATGTAATGGTGATGCAAAGACCTTAAACATGTGATAATGTTTTCTGAAGCAAGTTCAATAGGAGAATATATACTTTTACCAGCAGACACTTTGACATGACACAGGTGAAATTAAAACATTGATAATGAATCCATTTCAATTTATGTTTTCGGGTCTTGGTATTGTGAATGCTGAATGGCTCACTGGGACACTTAATGGAACTGAGTCTTCATTAATACTATTAGTTAGTTGATATAAGATAATTAGTTACACCTGCGCTCTTCCTGCCACGAATAGTCAAAATGTCTCCCATGAAAACGATGACGTTTGCAAACCATTGGACTAGGGCTGAACAATATTGCAAGAATATCTAATTGCAATAACTTTGACTATATTGCAATTGTGATTTGATTTTTCATTGAAAAATATATTTAATTGATTATGGTGTGGATTTTGATCATCTGTACCAAACAAAGATGTATATTACATATTGTGATTCTGATAAGATTTCGATTAATAGTTCAGCCCTACATTGGAATGAGGTACATAGTGGATATTTTCCTGAATCAGTTATTAATTGTAGTGTATGATGACAGAAGCCAAACAAAAACTTTTAGGTTTGCACTTAAAGAATCATGAACCACAGTCATTACACTATTATGTCAAGCCAAATATATAATCCTGTAACTTCATGTTTGCCCAGTCTTGTTTCTTCACATGTATTGGCAATGAACATAAAAATACCACTAATTTAATAAATAAATACATTTGAAATCAGTGAATAAATAAATAACAATGTTTTATTTTATTACTCCAATACAGAAATTTTCTATACATACTGTAGAGCATATCCAGGATAGTCCACAATTAGCCAGGCAGTTATTTAAAAATAATTCACACCCTGCAGGATTGAAAATTATTAAAGTTATTTTTTACATTACTGCATGCGTCAAAGTGGATTATCCTGCTTATACCATGGCCAGCTGCCAGCAAAATTTGGATATTTTTGGTGATATCTGGGACAATAATTTGACCTTTATGGTCTCTGGAATAAATATTACTTTAAAAAACAACTACTCCAAAATTCAGAAGTAGACAGGCATCCCAGCTATGTGTTTAAATTTGCAATTAGCAATGATGAGACTCTTGCATCAGAGCTGAGTGTTTCTTTAAAAAATAATACATGCCCTCTGTCAAATCCAAGAAATTAAATAACTTGTCAGAAATCTTTATATAGGTTCAGGAAATAAAATAAAAAACAAGACATATATTATTTATTTAAGCGCGGTTTCTCTGAAACAAAGGCAAAATTATTTTTAAGCAATAGAAAAAATATTTTATCAATCATCTTTGTACACTGAAATATTCTTACAAATACATAAAAGCAGTGCTTTATACATTAAATTCTCTTACGCAGTTTTGTTATGTCACTAGAATGCCTGGACTCAGCTATAAAAGCTTGGTATTGCTGGCTGCATAACCCTGTTCTGGGCTCGGTTCAGTCAGGCCGATCAGAGACTCCAGGAGGTAGGTGCTCGACTCGTACTGTGGCAAATTAACAGAGCTATACAGCTGGAGGTGACAACCGGCGTCTGGTTGTCTGTGTAGTTTGAAAGAGCTGTGCAGAGGTCCAGAGGTGTAGTCACAGTGAAAGAACTCCAGGTCAGAGTCAGAGGAGAGACTCAGGTCCACGTATCTGCCAGAGCAATAGTCCACAGTGGGGGAGGGAGTGTTGGGGAAGCCTTCAAGAGAGTCATTGTCAAAGAAGTCTCTGGATTGGTTTGCATTCTCATCAAGGTAATCTGACAGTGAAGTCCAGTTTATATTGTCTGTGAATGTATTGGCTGTCAGTTGTCCCTTACTGTCATTAGGAGTGCTGTAAGTGGAAGTGTTGCTGCTGCGCTGCAGTTGGCTGCATGTAGAGTAGTTATTATTGTCAGAGTCACAGATGCTGACAGCACACGACAACCCTCCATCAACTTCAGGGAGATTCTGACTCCCATTAAGACATCCTCCTGCATCAGAGTCGGAGGAGGAGCAAGAGGATTCGGTCATGTTGCTGCTGCAACTGTTCTCCTCCACTACCAACCGCTCTGGGATGAAATGAAAGGAAGGAGTGGTGGGCATGGTGAGAGGAAGGTCATCTTCCTCCATGGTGAACCCAAATGGGCAGCTCTTGTCCTGTGCACTCTGCACTGGATGGGCCTCATCCTGGTCCACATACTCTTGAAGGTCCTCTTGGAACCCTGTCTGATCCTCTTGGCTCAGTGTTTCATCTTGCAGTCGCTTCTCCAGTTCGAGTCTCATGGCGGTGTGGATGTAATGAGTCTGCACACCTCGGGAGTTGAACTCGATGCGCCCCTGAGTGTTTTCACAGCTGTCCTTAGTGCAGCCACATGGGAAGTTCAAGCGGTCCACCTGTGTGTAAAAGAAAGCAGGAAGACAAAATCAGTTCTGTGGGTACTCACACAATACAATACAGTACGATACAATACGATACAATACAGAGTATTGATACCAGGATCTGAAGAAACAAGTGCAGGCAAAAGTGTTTTTGGTTTGTAAATTAAAAGGTAATATATATATATATATATATATATATATATATATATATATATAATAAAATTCCTTGATTTGTTTACAGTGTTTACTCTTGTACTCTTCAAAAACAGACTCTTGATTAGTGCTAAGAAAAGTTATAGCTCCCATTGGTGTGGGTGATATAGAAAAAATCCTAAATTACAGTATACATATTCTGAAGAGTCAATTGCAAAATTGTTAATGAATAAAATAACAAGATAGAATGTTTGTTGAAATGAAAAAGAAAAAAGAAAAAAGAAATGGCTAAATGGTTGAAATAATTTGCTAGAAATAATGGATAAATAGTTGGCTAATAAATGGTTTGGAACTTGAAGGGTGTGGGGGTACGTCAGACACAAAAGGTTGGGAACCACTAGTCAAATACACCTGTGTAAATTAAAGGGATAGCTGCCACTGTAACTGTATGGTACAACAGACACATTTATATAATCTCACATTGCCCACCACTAAGCACCAAAGATACAATTTACTGTACTCTCTTTACTAAACATGCCTTCAACATGCATTATAACTGATTCATTAGAGATGCTTAACCAGCTCAAACTACAATTTACATTCAAGTTTGTTCACATTTTAGATGCGATAATAAAACATGAAATCCACCCAATCCACAAAGATAAATGTTGATGTTATTTTGTGTTGTACCTGGCACTTGATTCCCGCCAGACTGCATGCGCAGGTCTCTGGCTCACAAAAGCCTCGGCAGTCACATCCACAGGCCTCCCGGGAGAGACGCAGGGCGTGGAGCTGCCTCTTCTCCTCCCTGTCTATGCGCTTCACCCCCGTTGCCTGGAGGAGAGCCTGCCGCTGTTTGGAGGAGTACGGCTGAAGGAAACTTCCATCCTCCAGCTCAGCATCACTGATGTGGATGTCAGTGTCTTCATCTTGGATTTGATCCACAGTGAGCCTCTCTGCTTCCCTCTGGTTAATGGCCCCACTAGTGAGCAACTGGAATCAGCAGAACAGATAAAGTAAGGGGACTGTTGTATAAACAAGCAATGCAAATTAATGTAGAAAGAAGCGCACTCACTTTGTGTTTCAGTGCCTTGAACCGCTCTTCTCTCTGTCTTTCTCTAAGCCTCTCTCTGTGCCTTTGCCGTTGCTCCAGTGCATGCTCTTCCACCGTGTATATTTGGAGGGTGCTGTGCCTCCGCGTCATGCCCAGGGTGGCACCTCCATGGCTGGGCACACTGGTGAAGCCCTGGCAGCGTGGGAAACTGAACACTGTCACTTGATCAAAGCGCACGTTGCTCTTTGCACCTGCGAGCTTGGGCCTCTTCAGGGTGGACCGAACTGGTTGTGTTAGAAAAAGAGAAACATCAGAAAAAGTGAGGCACTGTCAGGTCCAGTTTTTCAGTGAGCCCCTGGTGCTTTAACAAGTAGGGGTGTCACAGTATACTATGAAAACATGAACAAGTCTGTCAGAGCAGTCCAATTCTAGGCTTGTCTTTGTCAAGAGTCAAACTAGAAAATCAGTCCTACGTGGTCAAAAATGTTTTGACCAGGAGTAAAAGCATTTAATCAACCTACTTAACCAGGAGTCCTAACCTGTTAGGAGTCACCAAGACATGGTGTTCAGGCAGAAACAATCTGGAGTAGGGAAGATTATTTGGAAAACTTAATGACAATGAGCTTATTAAAAGACACTGTTTTTGACAAAACCAAATATTCCCAGGCCAAATGTCAGTGCTCAACTTAATTGCAACAGGTGGAATCTAACATTAGGTTCAAATATTTTATATATATGGGTCTAAAACTCCAAAACACAACTATCAGAAAAC